TGGCCAGGAAATTAATGTGGAAAAATGGCTTTGTTGGGAGCTCCTCCTTATCTACTTTCTATTGGTGGGAATATTGTCTCGACCTGGAAATTAAAGATATGTCAATTAGCCAATGACGAAATCCTTGAGTACTAAAAATTAAAGACATGCATATGCTAAGATCACGAATAATCATCGCAATGATATGGAGATTTAACGATAATTAGTTTTAATGATAATGTTTTTGACTATGATAGGTAGGAAAAATACGCAAAAAAAAAAAACATTGATAGTAATAATTCTATATGGCCGTCCAAAAATCCGACACAATATAACTACGTTAAAAGTGGCTTCAGATTAGTTGGTATAATAAGCAAAGCAAACCTTAACATCATTGGTTTTGTATTTAATTTCTAAAACAAAACAACCTGATGTTAGGCCGGTGTCTAACTCCAAATATAACGCCACTTTTATGTTGTCCCTTTATATTCAATTCTTATATGTATGGTCATCTTAATTTTCCTAGTATCTGGATCCTTCATTTTTTCTACCAAAAGAAGTATTAATAATTGACCTAATCTTGCTTGGAAAAAAGTGAATATGTTAGGCACCGTTAGCCATCTAATTTTGATTAATTTATTGTCTTCACGAACTAATATTCTTGTCCAGTAAATTAAAGGTAATTTTGAATATTGATTCGTGTAACTATTTGTGATTGACAAGCTAATTAATATTTAGTTTATGTATGGCTCTATGTTGAATGAAGAGACATTGTCATTGACAAGGTTGAGAATTGTAACTACGAAATCGACAATTAAATATCAGACGAAGTAATTAGGAATAATAAAAATGAAAAGTGGGATTTTCCTAAATAGCAATAGAATTGAAATTTCCATTTTTAATAGAAAGTGGGAGGGGAATAAATAGCAAACTTGCAATCTACTCATGAATCAATTAAGGAGGAGTAGTTGTGATTGAAGGCATTAATAATTGGGATGTTTGTACTTTGTACTGACAATACTCTCTTCAGTAAAAACAGCAGTAATTAGTCTTCCTGTTTCCATGTGAAACCACATAATTGAAGCCTTCTGTGCTCATATGAACACAAACACACAGATTTAATTGATGCATCCATCATCATATGGACACAATCCTGAGGGGCCTGCCTCCGCCTTAATGGAGGATAACAACAAGATTAATTTTGTGTTAGTAAATCTTTTGGTGAAAAAATTTAAAAAACAGTTAGTTATTTTTGACATATTGTAACTACTAACGCATTTGACCGATCCGATCACATAATTTTATTAGGTTTAGACTTAGTTGCTATTGCAGTAGATTTATCTGATTTCAACATCAGTACTCATGGGCAGCCACCATCATAACTAAGTGTTGCATTATGTTATGGTTCACTTTTTGGGACAACAAAATAGAGAAAAAAAGACTCATGATCATTACCATGAGGCAGAGGTTATGTTCAAACATGTTATTCTCGTCCACACAATCCAATTATGTCAAAGGGATGCCTATTTTGCTTGTTGACTCCGCAACTAAGGAATCAACCCAACAAAGAAAATAACGCAAAAAAAGAAAAAAGAAAAGTAATGTGCGCAAACAAGGTTTAACAGTATCATCTATCTGCCCTAGTGATTTTTGTTTATTGCGCAACAAAAACTTAACAATTATTTTGTGATGGAGGATGGATAATATATATCGAAAGGGTTTTACTAACTTTCTTCTTTTTCTTTTCTTTTCTTTTTTTAAAAAAACAAGTTTCGCAAACTAACTTAATTTGTTACTCCAATTTTAGGATGAGTACGGAGTCATTACATTATACTACCTCCGGCCCAAAAAAATAAATCACATTGAGTTTTAGAATTTGTATAATTTTTAGTACAAATCTCAAAATTCAAAGTGGATTATTTTTCTAGGACGGAGGGATTGATTTGTAGTTCAAAATGAGTATGTAAACAACGTCTATCCATCCCTTCTCATAGGATAATCGAACAAAATTATTAGTACAGATTCACAAGCAAAACACCAAATGATGAAGAAATTTAGTGTGTAATTAATTAAGTGTACTCCAAATAATAACAACAATTGATCATGATCATTTGTCTAATACATTAGTTGGGGGATCGGATCATTGCATAGTACTCATTCAGATTTGAATATAAATCTTCTTTCTGCTTCCTTAACAAATATGATTACACGGTGCAATTAATACATAGCACATGCATTTTCCCCCTTCCCGGATGGAAACAAAGCAGCCAAATTAATAAAAGGGATCATTTTCATTTGATGAAGTTAGTCTGCAAAAAAATTATAGCATGTCCCCGGTCCCCCAATTGGACTCAGGAAAATTCATGCTGCCTAAAATGTGATCCAGAAACGGTTAATCGATTGAGTATTATTGTTAATGAAACTTCGGACCATTTCATTAAGTGTTCCCCAACCAAACTGATCACTAGTTCACTACTCATAATAAGTCCCTCGTTTTTTTTAATTATTTTTTATTTCCCAACTCTTTAATATCCTAAAACGCCACCACCAATACATATGATCCTTCCGTCCCCCCCCCCCCAACCCCAAAAAAAAGCAAATTTAACAATTCGAACTTATTTTTTGGAACAGAAACAGTAATTAAATCTAACATAATTATCATGCAAGGCATTTTGATACACATAAGAGAGGTTTTTAACAAGGGAAAGGGTGGGGGCGATGGTAAGACGGGTAGTAGCTTTCATTTGGAATTAATATGCATGTGGTGTGGGGTTTTGCTACCAAAATTAATCATTTGGGAAGCATGGCATTAGCATGCATGCACTAAAGCCCATAGTTCCCAACATTAATTACAAGTTAAGCTTAGTCGACGTACATGAAAGTTATATTATACCATTGCCCCCCAACCCAAAAAAAAATGTTGCACATGATCAGAGTTGATCCTCCACCTAAAATTCAAAGGTCTAGCATGTATGTGTTAAGATCAAGGAATTAGAAGTCATACGTTCGAATCTCACAAACACAGAAAGTACACGCTATTTTAAACTCGGTCAAGAACAACAATATCATAAAAAAAATAGTGATACAGATTGAATTTAGATTAAAAAAAAAAAAAAGGACAATAATGTGGTTTGAGATTGTGATCAGGATTCAATTACTTGCGAATTAATCCAAGACATGGGAACCCATGTAAGGGCCCTAGTTACTATTATACTAATTATATTACAAATATTTGAACATCTATTGAAGAAGATAAGATCAAATTGCCGTGCTTTGTGAATTACTTACTTCTAACAAAGACTAGATTCTTCCTTTCATTCTGAATTTCTTCATTTTCTCACCAAACATATTAGACTCTCCAACTATAATGGCTGCTGTTCATGATTTGATCCATACTTTGGTTGTTGTTGTTGTTGTTGTTGTTTTCATACCACTATACATCTATCATTCTAATCAGGTTTCTTGTGTCTTTAACAAACTTTAACTTAATAATTTTTTTCTTTTTTTCTTTTTTCTTTTTTTTCTTTTTGCGTCTCTGGATTTAGGGGTCAAAACTTGAACGCCCCCACATTAGAGATTTCTGATGATTTGTTTGGTCAATCGCGTGGTCAACTACAACTCGCTTGTACTTCAATATCAAGTGACATCATTACTTTTATACCAATATTTTTTGCAACTGGCTACACTACTTGATCGGTGCCCTATTGATATAAGTCTTCTGTAACTTGATTAACAGGTTCCTGTGACCCCATGAATCGATATATTCGCTGTTATATAAACGTTGTTTAAGTGGTTTGTTATTCCATTTTTGGTAGTACTAAGATTTACAACATACTTTATTGTAAACTTTATAATAAATTTTGAAGTACAATTTTGAAGGACACACACTCCTGTACAACTCAACAAAGAATTCACTGAGAATAGCTATTCTCAATAATAAATTTTGAAGTACAATTTTTGGTATTCATAAGATTTACAACATACTTTATTGTAAACTTTATAATAAATTTTGAAGGACACACACTCCTGTACAACTCAATTTTGAAGTTCCAAAAGTTTGATAAAAAAAAAAAGCCTACTGCGTAGAGTTTTTTTTGGTCATAAAAAAATTAATTCCCTGAAGACCCTACTAACTCATGTAATTATCCAATCATTGAGAATAGCTATGGTGGATATTGTACGCGGTGCATGTTGGTCCTGCTTTGTTGACGTCTATATTTTTGCATTGCATTAGCCATACGTATTCTAAATGTCATCACCGGATCAAACAAGCTTTTTATCCTTTTATATATATATATATATATATATATATATATATATATATATATATATAAACGCATTCAGCAATGGTATGAGTATCTGTATAACATATTCTTTATGATTTTTAAGGAAAGTTTTATTGGACTATAGGCCTATAGCCCATAACCTAAACTCATCTTGGGCTATGTGATGTACTACTACTGATAAAGCCCATTCTCCAACTAGTCCAAGGATTTCGTCTTTTCCTCCCCATAAATTCCTTCGCTACTGATACAATGATACAAACCTAAATTACATATGCAGATCTGCTGTACAATTCAATTAATTTCTGTAAATTTTGTAACTAGAATGCCTAGTCAAAAAGCTCAAATGGCATCTTGGTTTGTACCTTTCTGTTGTAAAATTTAATCAATTCGTGTGAATTTCTTAATTAGAATGCCTCCTCAAGGAGTCTGATTGCTCAAACCCAACACAATCGAGGCATTTTGCAAATAAAGTATGATATATTAATATCGTCGTTCCTAGTTCTAGAGTCTCGTGGTAAACTAGTCTAATTAAGGTTCATCTAATTATTCATATTCAAAAAAACAAAAGAGAAAAATTACTCTTTTCCTCAAATATTTTTATTAATTTTAGTGATAGGTTGTCCAAAACTTTCATTTCACATGGTTGAAAAATACTCTTTACATTTTTCCAAAATTTTTACTTGGTTAAATTTAAACAATACTACCATCTCTTTGCTGTAATAGGCCCAACAAAATATGTCTCCATTGAGCCCAAATGCCCCTATCCTGGAAACTGGAGATTTGAAGACAAATATGGTGGCCCAAAACGTGCACGTAACTTTAATGAACCAAACTAAAACATGTAGGCATGTAACATACGCTACGTAAGATTTGTGGTTTGTGTGAGACCGGACTCTGATTTTTGTTTTGCATTTCCCACATTCGAAAACGAAACCCAATCCCAATTTTATTTTATTCTTTGGTTTTCCTTCTGCTCTCTTTGACTTTCGTCTCCAACCAGACCCAGTTGCAGAGATTGTAATCTCACCATTTTCAGTTACAATTAAAAGAACAGTTTCTTAGCTGATTCAGTTATTCAGGAACTGTTCTCTTTCCATCGAAACCTACACATATAAGTCACGGGTATTTGATGGAAGGTAATTAACGAGTTGTGAAGATAATTAAGGTTTGGAAGCAGAATTCAAGGAAAGGGGAAAAGGGATTTCAAGCTGAAGAACTGAGCTCCGTGAGCTTTCTTTCTCCTTTCTTTTTTTTTTTTTTTTAAATTAATGTTTGGATATTGGTTAACTGTAGTTTATAGTGAGGCACCTAATTCAATTTATATTTTGCACGACTAGCAGAGTTTTAATCAATTCGGTTGTGTTAAATTACTGATTTGATCAATTATTCGTGTAATTTAGTTAAATTCTATTGGTTATGTAAGTTTACATTTGATAATTGCTGATGATTCATTTTCTTGAAAGACCGTTTGAGTTAAATTTAAGAAACTACCAGACCAGGGCCCGAGTAAAATGAATGAGGGGCACAATGCGTCTTGGAAATTCGGTTTGGCGTACCTTAGATATTTGGTTAATTTGATTATATTCGTGAATATTAGGAAATCCGGAATGAATAATGCCGTGGATATGTCATGGAGGGTGTTGGCGGGGCAGCCACTTGGTTTTCCTCACTTTCCCTGTAGAAGTAGATCAAAGAGAAGGATGAGGGCAAAACCAGTCACTCCCAGAGTAGCCTTAGTCGAGGCAAGGCCTACTCCACCTCCAGTTCCAGTTAACAGAAACAACCAAGACGGTGATCGAAAACCACAAGTGATTGCTTCAGTTACAGCTGTAAAAGAGGATTCCTCTCTTCGATTCTCTAGGGACCGAATGGAGGATATGCAAGCCGAAGCCAGGGCTATGGCTCGTGCCGTTAATGCATCTGTTTATAGTCCCCAACTCCTGTCCAGTAAATATGGCTCCCGGCCCGTTAAGGTACAAATACATTTGTTCCCAGTTCTCTAGTCTCATGCACATCTCTTTTTTCTGTGAGTAATGTACAGTTGAATTGAGCAATTAATCTGTATAGGTACTAGGCAGGGCACTGGAAATACTCACAGGACTGGGTTCATTTGCCTTAAAGGTTTGGCTGGATCAGTTGAATAACGTGGTTGATGTTAACAAAAGATTGCGAGCCGTTGAGCTCCGACAAGTTTTGACTAGGTTAGGACCTACTTTTGTGAAAATTGGACAAGGCTTGTCAACTAGACCCGACCTATGTCCTACCGAATATCTGGAAGAGCTTGCGGAACTTCAGGTATCTTGAAGGCCATTATATGATTCTTGTTAAAAAATCTGTGAACTAGTGACACAAAATTAACAGGAGTAAGAAGGAACTCAAAGCCAAATTTCATCTTGAATGCAGGATGCTTTGCCTACATTTCCGGACGGAGAGGCATTTGCTTGTATTGAACGAGAGTTGGGACGACCGCTAGATTCCATTTTCTCAGCAGTATCTGCATCACCAATTGCTGCAGCAAGTCTGGGCCAAGTTTATAAAGCTCAGTTGAAGTACTCTGGCCAGGTTGTTGCTGTGAAGGTGCAAAGGCCTGGTATTGAAGAAGCCATAGGTTTGGACTTCTATCTGATACGAGGTTTAGGGTTCCTTGTTAATAAATATGTTGACATTATTACCAGCGATGTTGTCGCACTTATCGATGAATTTGCTCGTAGAGTTTACCAAGAGCTGAATTACGTGCAGGTTTGTTGCTTTGATCTTGGGCTTTAGCAAGCTTAAGCTCATTTTCTTTGATAGACTCTATTTCTTTATGCTAAATAAACGTGTTAAGTAGTTCCTATGTAACATTCTACTGGAGTTGATTTAATTTTTACAGGTTTATGCAGGAGGGGCAGAATGCACGGAGGTTCAGGAAGTTGTATGCTGATAGAGAAGACGTGCTTGTCCCGGATATCTTTTGGGACTACACAAGTGGAAAAGTATTGACGATGGAGTGGGTTGAAGGTGTTAAATTAAACGAGCAAGAATCTATCGAGAGACAAGGGCTAAATGTATTGGAACTGGTGAACACAGGCATCCAATGCAGTCTTAGACAGTTACTTGAGTATGGTTATTTCCATGCCGATCCCCATCCTGGAAATCTCTTAGCCACGCCTGAGGGAAAGCTTGCTTTTCTTGATTTTGGAATGATGAGTGAAACTCCCGAGCAAGCTAGAGTTGCTATAATTGGTCATGTTGTTCACTTAGTTAATCGAGACTATGAAGCCATGGCCCGTGATTACTATGCTTTGGACTTTTTGGCACCTGAAGTAGATGTCTCTCCGATTGTGCCAGCACTGAGGGACTTCTTTGATGATGCACTTACTTTGACTGTGAGCGAGCTGAACTTCAAAACTCTGGTGGATGGCCTGGGTGCTGTATTGTATCAGTATCCATTTAATGGTGAGTTGCTGTATCAGTGGCCATTTCTTTACCGTTTCCAAGACGGATACTTTTCACTCTAGCTGCAATCAGAATGACTCTTATTTGCTCTTTGTGTGAATAGTGCAATAACTTATGATAATTCATAACTTTGTGGAATTTATACTTGCAGTTCCAGCTTACTACGCGTTGATCTTGAGGTCCCTTACTGTATTAGAAGGTTTAGCTTTGTACGCCGATCCTAATTTTAAGGTGTTGGCTGCTTCATATCCATATTTTGCTAAAAGGCTTCTCACAGATCCAAATCCATACCTTAGAGATGCTCTTATAGAGTTACTTTTCAAGGATGGGAGGTTCAGGCATGTAACATAGTGTCTTTCTTATGTATGCATTTCAAATGTTGGTATCTTGCTGGTGGCCGTTGAAATTCACATGTCGAAATGTTTGATATTTTCAGGTGGAATAGACTTGAGAACCTACTTGTTCAAGGGAAGAAGGACAAGGATTTTTCTGCAAAAGACGCGCTACAGCCGGTCCTCAAATTGTTACTTGGTGAGGAAGGCGAACCACTGAGGGCATTGGTGGTGAAAGAGGCAGTTCTTGTGACTGAAGCAGTTGTTTTGGGCACAGTGCTCGACTCTTACAATTCTGCTCCTGCTTTTATAAAGAGCTTCATTTCGAGTAATAATGGAACTGATCCTTTCCCTATTGGCACTGCTGATAAGGAAAACATGCTGGAGCTTAGGGCACAAGTAATACGTGTGTGGGAACTTTTGCGAACTTCTCAGAATTTTGATCCTGCTCTATTACAGCCTATACTGCAGGTGCGGTTAATATGCACTCGCTTTTTTGAAGGTTATAGTATTGCAATGCCCACGGCTTGTCTTTGAATTCATGATTCTGATAAATTGGTACATCTTTTGTCTGGTCTTCAATGTAAAATTTTTCAAATCCAGGAAATTTTAATCTGTTGATATCATAAGAGCTGCTAATTTGATTTGAATTGAGTTAACTGCATCAAATTTCATGAGCAGGTGCTTCAAGAACCTGAAGCTCGCAGTCTAGGTGGTCGTGTATTTGGTGGAGTAACCCAGCGGTTGGCAGCACGCTTTCTGCAACAAGTTCTCAGAGCTCCGCCGCCACTTCCTGCTCCACTTTCATAAGTAAATATGTTCTAGAATTGATTGGTGGATTTAAAATTTGAAGTCAATTCCACTTCCTACAGTACTACTAACAATTTCAAAAAAATTTCCCGTTTGTATATGTTAGAGATCATACTGTATATGATTTAGAATCGATTCATTCAATAATAGTAGAGTTATGCTACAAATTGATTGTAAAGATGTGGACACTCAAAAGCATAGGGAAGACTTCCCTTATGCTACACTACACCCACTTCATAGGACGTTCTGATTCTGTTATTTTTTAAGAAATGTTTTTTTTTTTGTTTTTGGTGGGTATTAGCTCTTTACGAAGGCTTCCGTTTGAAGCTAATTACTTGATGATGGCTTGTTGGACTTGGTTTCTGGTAACTAGTAGTTTTGTGCTATCCGGGTGTAAAATGGAAAGATTGAATCTGAAACTTGAAAACATGAGTCATATTTTTATGCCTTTGTCCAACTAGAATGAAATGAATTCAGCAAGAACTTTGAAGCTGGTGGTTTGATCCTTGCATTTCCCTCGTAAGACATATCCTCCATTTCGGTGAGCCAAGATATATCAAACAAATCTGGTAATCAAAATAGGTAATCCCCAAGCTGGGAAGGTGAGCTGGTTATTCAACATTGGTAGAAACAACCAAAATAAAACAAAGCTCCAATTTGCAAAATGTATAGGAAACAAGAAAGCGAATGGTGAGTCCATATGGTTCAGGGGATACTATAAGAAACAACAAATGTGGACCACCAGATCAAAAGATTATTCCAGGTAAGCTGAAGCAGCTGAAGGATGGAGAGCCAAGTTTTAGATTCCTGTAATCCACATGGCAACCTCAGCAGCCAATCACCAATTGACATCCCTATCCTTTCTTGATAAACCCCTCCCATCTTACATCCTACAAAGTTGTTATGTCAAAAATTATTTTTTGCTTACAACCCCTCCAAAAATAATCTAAACTTTGTTCATCTCAAAGGAGAAGGAAAAAAAAATTCGCCGACATGGCCTCTGCTTGTGCTCCTTCCACCATTGCTGCTGTTGCTTACTCTTCTTCTCCCAGGTAAGAGTGTGTGTGTGTGTGTGTTCTTACTTCCATTCTGTATTTTTCATTCAAGTTATGCGTGAACAAGCGCTAGTCATATGGCCAAATTATTATTCCATCGATTTTTATCTTGTGGTTTGTAGTTCCATTCATTCTTAAACCATTTCTAATAATATTAAGTGTTATTCACGACATCACACATAAGTATAGTTATTACGTAACATATGTTTATTATATAGGTGCCTCACTCACTAAATTATAGTACCCTAACATTAAATAAATCAATAAAAATTAACCTGTTATTGTTTGTAGTTGTATACTGATTAAAAAAATAAAATAAAATTTTTCTATACGATAAAGGAGGGAAAAGCCTCATACTCAAATTTAAACATTTGTTTTACAGCACACAGAAAAATGGTTCCATTATAAAAGCTTCATTCCTTAGCGGGAAGAAATTGAGAGTGAGCAAGTGTTGCACTGCTCCAGCTGGAGCACGATCTGTAACCGTCTGCGCCGCAGCAGATCCTGACCGTCCTTTATGGTTCCCCGGCAGCGTTCCTCCTCCATGGCTCGACGGCAGCCTCCCAGGCGACTTCGGATTTGATCCTTTGGGTCTTGGTACGGTCCATTCTTCCACGGCCCATTCCCTTTAATGAACCAAAAAATCAACCCTTCCGGATTGAAATTGTTTGGCTTTGTTTGACAGGATCTGATCCAGAGACCTTGAAATGGAACCAGCAGGCGGAGCTGGTCCACTGCAGATGGGCCATGTTGGGAGCCGCCGGAATCTTCATCCCGGAATTCTTGACCAAGATCGGAATCCTCAACACACCTTCATGGTACACCGCCGGCGAATTGGAATACTTCACTGACACAACCACACTGTTCGTGATCGAATTGGTCCTCATCGGTTGGGCCGAGGGAAGACGGTGGGCTGACATCATCAAGCCCGGAAGTGTGAACACTGACCCAATCTTCCCTCAGAACAAGCTTACCGGCACCGATGTCGGGTACCCAGGTGGCCTGTGGTTTGACCCATTGGGCTGGGGAAGTGGATCACCTGAGAAAATCAAGGAATTAAGGACCAAGGAGATTAAGAATGGTAGGTTGGCAATGTTGGCTGTAATGGGAGCATGGTTCCAACACATCTACACTGGTACAGGCCCAATTGATAACCTGTTTGCTCACCTTGCTGATCCCGGTCACGCCACTGTTTTTGCTGTAAGTTTTCAGCTGCAAAATTGCGAATCTTTGTGTTAATTGTGTTAGGACTAATTGGTAACCAAGTTTAATTGGTTTTCTTGGCCCTTTTTGTTTCAGGCTTTCACCAACAAGTGAGTGAAGCTAGGATGAGATGATGATGCTAAGCAGGAAAAACCCGTGGCGAAAATGAAGGATGAAAAATTTAAAACAAGTGTGTTTTTTCTGTTGACGTTGATGATGATGTATCGAAGTAAAAGATAGACCTGTTTTTTGTGTATGTCTGCTGTAGAGAGATGCTAAATTGCTAATTAATGCAGTGTACAAATGAAATACATCCTGCTTCACTCCTCAATCTTCGCCTTATATTCCTTGGAAATGTGTTTTATTTGTTCTAAACCGAGTACATGTAAAAAGAAGGTGTCGAGTGATGAATATTCTATAATCTCCAAAACTCAATGAAACTAATCTTAAGATAAATATACGAAATATTCCTCCGTCCCGAAATTATTGTTGTTCAGGTTGAATCTTGTTTCTAGTACAAATAGTATTAAGAGTGAAAATCCAAAATGGATTAGTACAACAGGAGTAATTTCAACCCAATTTTACAAGCGGAAATTGTAACATTCGTTGAGGAAGAAGGCATAACGACTCTATTTCTTTGGACACCTCACCAAATACCACCCGAAACGTACCAAGTAAAATGAGCTTGACCATCTGATTTACAACGAGAACGTGGGGGAAACCCGCATATAAGGTCGATAGGACCCTATGAAATGCCCTAAAAAACCAAAGTTAAATGAGTGTTTTTTCTTTAAGTAAATGATGCACAAAAGGGTTAATATAAACCTCTTGTAGGGAAAAAGAGAGAAGTTGAAACAAAAGTCTCAACGGCGAAGTCATGGCCGCCCCCCTACGGTTGCAGCTGCTAGACTCCTTTGGGGACGATGAACCTCGTCTTTATCAAGATATCTTGGAGGCCTTCGGCTTTGTCAAGATATCTTGTGAAACATCCGTCTCAAAAAAAATAATTAATTTACTTTGTTATATTTTCTTTGATCCTAAAAAAATCTGCATCGAATTGTAAGTATGAATTACTTTTCAGGACGGAGAAAGTATTAAATTTTGAACATATTGAATAAAGCCGAGAACCGTGGTCAATTTTGAGAGACTTCCCAACATTACTACAAAATGTAATGGAGAACCTCGTTGGATCCATCTCCACCAAGGAATAAATCGACTCAAATGACAACCTTGTAAAATTAGCTCTCACGTCCAACTCTTTCACCAAAAGAACTGATTGACTCCACAAAATGAACACTGATTAAGCAGCATAATAACAGCATCCATTTCATCACAACATCCCCTCGATTCTCATTTGATTCGTCGAAGACAAAAGCTGGATTGTTCCATTTCCGCAAGCTCGCTATTTCATATCAGAGCTTAAAATGATGGAAATGAACCCAATATACGACACAGTACACACATGGAATCACCCTCGGTAAGCAGGGTTGACAAAAGTTGGATGACCAAAAGCGTTTTCCGAAGACACTACATTCAAATTAAAGAATTAAATTATTAAAGTAGTAATCATAAGAAACCAATATAGAACGTTCTCCATTGACAGCAGAACGGAACCTTTGACTGTTCGTAACAACCAAATTAAGTAAACAACTAACCATTCCCACAAATGGATAGAGAGTATTGAATTGTAAATTGTTAGCATAAACAAAAGATGGTTCATACTTCATACTACAACTAATAAGGACAATGCAAACCATTATGACAAATTGAATTGTCAAACAAACAGTAAATATCATCAAGAGTATACAGAGTATATATCATTACAATTAATTACAACCTAATAGGAACCAAACCAAATCCCAGTTTTTGATCGTTTCCATTTGACAACAAATAACCGTGTAGCTCATTTTCTTCCATGGAATATAGAATACACAAAAAGTATTCAATTTAGACTCTGGAAGAAGACTGGAAAAAAAAGCAAAGAAAACAAAGTGAACATGGGATTGTATTAAATTTACTACGTAATTGGTGTGTTCTTCTCTTCCTAATTCTCCTCAGGAAGGTCGGTTAGGGGGAGGAGGGCGGACAGATATATTAACCGGAATGGGTCGACCCGTACCAGACCCACCGCAGCTGTTGCAAGCCATACGACCCGACCCGGCACAAGTCCGGCAACCGTAATCGCCGTCCGACCAGCGAGAGCACAGGCAGGTAACCCTTCCGGTACCGTTGCAAGTGGAGCACCGGGGAAACTGGCCACCATTTCCAAAAGGACCGAACATAGACTTGGAATCCATCATCGACTTCACGAACACCGCACCGGCCAACACGCTCAGACCCGTGGCCAGCGGAGTTAACACGATTGGACCCATCTCTGAATTTACTAAAGTTTCAGCTGCCAATTATTAGCTGGGAATGTTGCAGATGAGTTTTTTAGTTTTTCCCCAGAAGAGGGAGAGGAAGAGGAAGAGAAATTGTATGTGAGGAAGTTGTGGTAGTTTTGTTGACGCGGTGGAGAAATCTGATTGTGTTGTTGTTTTGTGAAGGATTCAATTGATTTTTTTTTTTTGAGAAAGGGGAAGAAGAACTGTGAAAGCGGTGGTGGTGGAGTTGTACACGTAAAGGAAAGTTCATCTGGTGGTGCAGACTTTGCAAAGGGAGACAGTGGAGAAATGAAAAATCAGTATAAGAAGAACATGTGGATTTGGATTTTTGTTTGGAAGTCGTTTGGGCCAAGGCTTCGTTTTCTTTTTTGGTTCTGTTTCCACGGCCGACAAACACAGGCCATTTTAGGCCTAATGCCCGATTTTAGCATGAGTCATGTGCAAAGGTGCAGCAGGCCACATGCTCCACTCCACAGGCCGAATTCTGCCCAAACCGTATTATTCTGGTTACAAACCGGAATGTACTATCATTAGCCGGAAATGTCTGTATCATTTACAATGTCATTCCATAAAATTGCTTGACTGAAAAAGTAACCGCAAGCCTGTACATTACAACCGTGAAGTTACTACTTTGTGATTGCCTGATCACGAATCAAAACTCGAAAAGGTAATGCAATGCTTACAAATGCCCCTCCCCCACATCCCCCGCCAGCGAGGCAACAGAGAAGATTGAAGCTATGAAGGAATGTAGTTTCGACAATACAATATTGAGAATATAAGATTTTTTCATTCCTTGATGGAAAGAGGATTCAAAATTTCATGGAATAACATTTTTCATTCCATTTAATGGAAAAAGGATTCAAAATTTCATTGAATAGCATGACAAGATGAACAATTCTAATCGGGCACAATCAAAACACTTGTCTGATATTTATGTTGATCCTGGATGACTGAATGTAATCCAGAAATGGAAGACATTCTTCTTTGGAGAACTGTAGTTCCAAATCGGCTATCTCAGCGTTTTCTTTGTCAGTGAATATCCGAGGAACACCTGCAGAACAAGCAACATCAACAAAACAAGAATTCCAGAAATGCTACAATGATGAGATAAATACTATGAGCACAACTACATCCTATACGATCTGTCACATTGATTCACATGACAACAAGAAGAAAGTGGATTCCGTATACAACAGATTTCTATTACCGTGAAAGCATTCCCTTGCTTCTCGAGCCATTAGTACAACATCACCACTTCGAAGGAACATTGCAAGAGGTGGATCTTCTCTAGACTTTCCCCCAAGCAGGAAAATCGCCTTGCAGCCCAAACTGATGAAAGAGAAAACAAATCATACTAAATTAGTATGCTTCTATCCAGGTTACACATAGAAATCAGAAAAAATACAGACAGAAGAAGCACAAACCTTATGCTCACTATAGGTTTACTCCAATCTTTTTCCATATCATCAAGGTGCCCGCCTAGCATATCTCCTGGAAATAACAAGTAATGCACACAAATTTCAGATTGATACAGTTCCATTGTCAGTTTAACGCAGTAAAATGCATGTATTCATCACAATGAAATAGAATACTCGTTTTAAAACAAAAGAAAACCAGTCCCCATGACAGTGATGGATTCACAATACCTAGGGAAAAGTAGTTCACAATTGCAGCTTCAGGCTGGAATTCTTCACCAGGAAGCATTGCAGGCGCAGCCAGCCTTTTGGCAAGGCAACAGAGTGCATCGGGGATCTTGTTATGAGGTAGGGAAATATTGTAGCTCCTCTGGAATAAATGAGTACCAGGAAGAAAACGGGGGGAAACAATATCAGTTGTGGAATTACTCCAAGACATAGCACTTTGAAAAAGGGTAGAAATGATAACAAAAAAGATCAGAAAACATGAACTCCAATATGTGAACGCTATAGCCTATATGTACCATACCAATCTCCTTAGTATACTTAGATTTAACTACCCAGCCCCTAATAACTGATTCTAGGCCATCAATATATACAAAAATTTAAAGAAACGAACGGCTCAAAAAAATGTGCAGAAGGATGCAAAAAAGACCTTAGACCAATCAAATTGCAGGCCAAGAGTGCTCCATCGTAACTTACGCAGCAAAACAGAGGCTAATACCGGCTTGCACGAGTCTCCCTTGCATGATTTATCGACTACAGAAGAAAATCTCCACCGAGGAACAAAATGTTCTCCACGAACCAAATCACCATCAAAAAGCACCTCACCAGACAAGGGCTCATCTTGAACAAAGACTTTGCTATCTTTGGCAGCATCAAACAAGTTCTCTATGGGGCCATAAACTGCATTATGATTTGTTCTATTTGGAGGTTGAGGAAAACTTTCTAAACTCTCTCTGATCCACTGGCATTGCTCATCAAGACTTAAAACTCCGGGAATGAAATAAAATCCTAGCTCCAAACGGAAAAAAAAAAAGAACAATTACTGATCGAGCCGATAATTTCATACTTTCAGACAAACTTCCAGCCACAAACACTAAGATATGGAATTGTAGAGACTGAAAATTTCAGATAATCAAGATGATTTACATTCAGATTCTGTGCATATAATTAAAATGCAATCAAATAAAAATGGAAAGCACCATATATCAGTAAAAGAGTCTCTCATACCAGGTCTACTTTCTAAACCGAAAACATGTCCTTGGAAATCAGAGTTAACCGCAAAAACTCCATCTGGAAGTCCACCGCCTCGTTTATACGACTCCAAAATTGACCTAAAGTCGATAACCTCTGACAAATCAACCGGTCTTGGTTGCTTCTTCCTACATCAAAATCGCAATAAGCGCTCTTCTCAACGGATAATGCAGATATATCGTAATCAGTTTATGGAAGAGTTACGAGTATGATAATAATAATACCTTTTCTTGTTATCGTAATAGAGTTTGTATTTCTTCTCCGCTTTCCGGAACTCAGTACGCTCCAAATCGTCCGCCGCGGTAGCCGAGCCGTACATTTCAGCCGTCCGGGAGCTTCAACGGTGATCTGATTTGGGAATTTTGTTTTCCAAAATTAGGGTTCTAGTGGGTCATTAACCAGTGCTACTGAAACCGTGAAAATCTTGGCACCTAAAGATCACGCCTTCTCTACCAAACTTTGACCGTGCTTCAAAGTTCCAAGCCTCTCTATTGTCATTTGTCAATAAGCTGAGGGCTTGAGGGAAAGAAACAACTTACAACTTATATAATATCGTGTTAGTGTGATACATGAATTGCTCACAATAAATATTGTTGACTTGTTACAACTTACACAATTACACATTTTCAGTAATATTTTGTTGTCCCAAAACATTTGCCTTGTTTCGATTTTTTGATACGATTTGCATGATTAAATGAAAATCTAAACATGATTATTAATTTTAGGATGGAAATAGATATATCAACGTTTAATATTCAAAAAATTCCAATATAACTTGAGGTACTATATTGGTTTGGCCTAATTGACCAAAATCATTTAAGTATGATATTAGCTCAGAATAACTTCATGTCTGTTTTATTTTGATTGCGCCATTGCTCAATAATCCAGTTTAGACATGAAACTCAATCAATTATTTGCTCCGTTCAAAGTTGTAACAACAGTAGACTACTCTCTTTGTCCCAAAATTATTGTCCACTTTACAATTTCACTTTTAGTACAATTTGAACTAACAATAATTATGAGACAGAGAGAGTATTTCGTATTTTAAAATCTAAAATCCATTATGAGAATGGTATATTAACATGAGCTAGAACCATGCCTATATGGCTATCTATTAATGTCATAAACAAACAAAAACGCAAGGTCAAGTCATTAGCATTAATGACGTAGGTATTACTCATTGTCCGGCCGATAAAAGTATGAAATCCTAATAATACTAACAGTAACAACTCATTTAAAATTCTACCTTTGAAAATGCAGCTATCCATTCCTATTTTAGTAAATTAGTTACTGTTAGTGACAACGGATACCTTGCTATTTGGCCGGAACAAAACACACACTATTAGTCGGAACAATCACATACTGGACCTTCGGACAGTGAAAATTCCAGATTTGCTATGTAAAATTGGATGCATTAAACTCATTCATAAATAAGAAGACTTGTGCCTTAGCTTTCCAAAAGGGCGATAAGCTACGTAATATGTGTCTAGACCAGCGCCTATGTATATATATAAAAACCAAAAAGAACAAACCGTATCATGATATCATCTGCCTCAATTCAAAGCTCCTGTTTCATCCAGCCTCACATAACAGAACAAGAATTGGGATTCTCATCGCTGAAAAGCGAAGGAGCATACACCAATTCCGGGTGGAATTGGCTGTAAAACTTCTTCAAATCTTCATTTCCTTTGTCTTTCTTCGGCTGATCTTCTTTCTTTGGTTCTTTTTCCTTTTCTGTCTTGACAAGTTCAGCATGCTTCCCTTCTCTCCTGGACACAAATTCCACAACCTTGGCTCCCTCAATTGTGCCCTTAACTTTCACCTGATTCTTGTCAATGTCCGTCTCCACAGTATGAACCCCTGTTCAGCCCAAAAAACCAGAACCCATTATCAGCAATATAATGAAGAGAAAAAAGATTCTATCACATTGGCCTCCCCTGGCTAAAACTTAGCATTACCTTCATCAATCGCTGGGCCAACTAAATATGAATTTACTCCTCCAAGAAAACAAAATAGTGGTAACTGATAATCACAAGTTCACATTGATTGAATGAATAGTAATTAATACCATTATATTTCTGCCAGGTTTCAGATAAACTGCATTTAGCTTTCTGGTCTCATAGAGTAGTTTTCACAAACACAGGGGTGGTTCATCTAGTTAACCCAATACTGAAGGAATTGTACTGTAAATCAAAATACCTGGCATCTTATGAAGAGTTTTTTTGACAGAGATGGCACAGCCTTCGCAATGCAAGTAAGTCTTCAGCACAACTTCAACGATTTTGGGCTTTTTTTTTCCCCCAGAACGGCCGGAAATCAAAATGAACAAATCAGCATCTAATTTGACAAATCAATAAGGGAAGAGGAAGAAATTTAACATGAACTCACTGACTGACCTCTTTCTTCTCCTCTTTCTTAACCTCCTTCTTTTCGTTCGGATTGATTTTCGGAGAAATCAACTCAACATGCTTTCCGGTCTTCTTCCTGACCCGTTTTGCAATTTTGGTCGGGTCCGTCTTCTCTCCTGCTTTCACATTGACCCTGTTCTTCTCCGAATCCACCTCCACAGTCTGAACTCCTGATGGTAAAATAACAACGTTTTTTTTTTTTCATATAAACAGAAATCTTCTTTGTCGTAAATGAACTAATGGGATGAGATTATTCTTACCGTTATAGCCCTTCAGCGACTTCCTCACTCGCTCAACGCATCCTTCACAGTGGATGTAAACTCCCAACACAATGATCCCCTTTTTGTTGTCGTTCTCCTTTTTCTCATCGTTCGACATTTCTGTTGTTTTTTTTTTCTTTCTGGGATTTTCGTGTTCTGTCAAGATATTGAGAAAAAAATGGCGTAATTCTCTGCCTCTCTGGGTTATATAGATAACAAGAACCCGAAAAAGTAAGTAAAAAAAGCATAGGAATTTAATGATGCAGGAACTTTATCTGTTGTACTTTGGGATCACTGCAGTAGTTTGTTGTTACCTTGGAAAAGAAGTAAGAAATGGGGCAGTCTGTCTCTGAGCCACTACTGCGTGAGTGTGTGTGGGTTGTTGGGAGTGTGTGTTTCTTGGCGCCGGCGGGAGCTCGGGACAGTTTCAGGTCCTTTTTTTTTTGTCTGTTAGCTTGGGAGTTGTACTATTGGTTATAATTACAGTGCAGATAAAGGAGGAGATTTGATTGGAGAAATTTTTAATTTTGATGAATGTTAATGTTATGAAGAACAAGAAAAACGTTTTAGTTTGTACTAACATTAATCCTTGCTAATCATGAAATGATTATGTTACCAAACAGAGATTATTCATGATCTTACAATATTGGCAAATTTTTATTTTATTTTTCCCTCTTTTTGGGGATTTTGGTTTTTCCATATGTTGTTTCTGGGTTGGGAATGGAGTGGTTTTAAGGAATGAGTAAGTAGTGGACTAATGGATTTATGGGAAATTGGTTGATATTTATAATGATACTAATTAGTGGTATTTATGGCAGTTTGTGGTGTCCAGGTGCTCCGAGTTCCAAATCGATCAAAATGCTGATTGCTGTCTAACATTAAATTAATTTGTTAAAGTATTTTGGTATCAAATCAGTAGATAAGTCGTACGTTAATTTAGCGGAGCCTTAATTGGAGAAGTAAAGATTGGAAGCAATTGAACGAATTGATGATCATGTGGGCTGTAACGCTAAACATAATATCAATGCCAGGGAAACAATATAATGGTGGTATCACGGTTCTTATATTGCATGGTTGGTGCTTGGTACCATATTCATTTCCTGTTAACGTCGTTATAGTAGCTGGTTTAACCTTTAGTGCTTAATACTGCTTAGTATTGTTCAGTCCTTGACCTTGACTGTTTGACATAAATCGTGACCAAATCGATTTTTTCAGTCTGATAAAGGAGCCACGATTTAAAGGTTAAACTAACATATAATATGATAAAATAAATATACAAAGTAAGTCATGTTTTTAACCAAGAGTGAACTCTCAAGTGTCAATTGTAAATTATATATAACCTTGGGATCTCCCAAAACTCGTCGCTATTGAATTGGTGGAGCATTAATCACAAAAATTGATTCTTGAAACATACTCCATGTATCCAAGATGTTCGTAAGCATTTTTTATAACTCAGATACAAGAATGCAGAAAAACAAGAAAAGCAAAAAGAGAAACGTAGATGCCTAATTAACTAGTGCAGGACAATGGCCTTAGCCCATTTTCCTATCTTTTTGGGCTACTTCAACTTCCATTTGGTTGTATAAATCCATTTTAACAAATAATGAAATCTAAATGAGTACTCCCTCCTATTTCAAAATATAGGTCGTTTTAGGATTTCAAAGCAAATCAAGGATTAACTTCCTAACTTTGCCCCAATAAATGATATTAACTATTTTTCATCTAGTTTTGGATATAGTTTTAAAACAGTTAATGAAGGGCAAAATAAAAATTTAACACACAAATTAATCATTAAATGATTGTCTCATTAGTTTACTTGTAGAGGGTAAAAAAGACTTACATTTTGAAATAGAGAGAGTAAATGACTTGAAGTTGTGAACCTCAATTCCTAAATCTTTGATTCTAGTTTGGATCTGCAATCTAAATGAACCATAAAATAATTAGCAACCGGACCATTTATGAACATAATGACTTGCTTTTCTTATTGTTTTTTTTTTTATTATTATCATCTACTTTTCTACAATTTGTTCCACACTTATTCACTGTTTACAATTACAAACACTAATGCCTTAAATTCATTCCAAAGAGTTATCAAAATTGAATATACTGGAGTATTATAATTATTGAATTTTATGTACGTATAATAAGTAGAATTGGCAAAATTGTACTGGATGTGCAGAATGGTTTGTGATAGGCAGTAACATAAACTAGATTATCTGTAGCCATATGTGCTGGGTTATTTGTTAGTTAGGTAAAAAAGGGTTAAAATAGACGGCCACAAGAAGGTCCATACGGATTGACACGAGGAAAAAAGCTACGGAGCCCACGTGGTGGACAGAGCAGGTGTTCCGGTTTAACTCGTTACACGTCTCGGGGCCGCGACTCTGTAAACTCTTTTGATAATGCCGGTTTCACTACCATTCTTGTTCCTTCCAGGCTTCCAGCAAATTAACCACAAAGAACAATTTGACAATATTCGGAATCCTTTCTCTTCAATCCATCCGTATCTTCTTTTGTTGTTTTGTTTTTCTTTGGGTGAGTTATTTTCCGCAAGCTATGTTATAAACTCCTCTGTTTTGGGCGTTTGTTTTGCAACGTCTTAATTGCATGATTTATGGTCAATTATGATGTGTCTGGTTAGTACTTTCCTTTTCTAGCAGTTGTAGTGTTGCATTCATTTCACCAATTTGATTCCATGTTCACGAACTGCATGGATTTAGTGATCCAATTGAACTCCAATTGTATGATGACGATCATGAGTTTTGGCAGAGCATCTTACATGGCAAAGAATGTTCAGTTCTTGTCAGTGATCTTACCAGATTCAGTTCCATGGAAAAATTAATTATGGTTATGGTGGATGAACCTTTATCTTCCTGATTTTAGCTTGATTACCCCGTGTCGTCACATGTTTTAACAATTTCATGAATTTAAAGAACTTTCATTTTTGAAGATCAATGATAATCAGCATTACCCATTGCTTGTGCAGTATTTTGCCATCGTGTCCTGCGTTAATCTTCCATCCAAAACCTGCTTATGAATCACTTGGTCTTAATTGTTGATATTAGGCATGCTTATGATGGGTTTTGCCGTTTTGCTATTTCTTGATGGGAGGTTTTAATTTTTGATTATTTAGGCATCGATTTTCTTTAAGGAGTAAACAAAGATGTCGGGTGTATCACTAGCTACTGGTCATCGGTCTGATCTCGCTCATACGACCACCACCACCGCTCCAGACATGAAATCCGACCAGAAATCGTGGCCCGACCAGCAGCGCCACCAGTCGGCCGCTGCCCAAGCGGCCGGAGGCGGCGTCATGGGTTCCCTACGCATCATTGAGCTCCAATTAGTGGCCTTTATAATGGTGTTCTCAGCTAGTGGTCTAGTCCCACTTCTAGACATCCTGTATCCAGCATTCACCACAGCTTATCTGATTGGATTGGCCCAATTTGCATTCCCATCTCACCACAAAAGACTTGGTGCCGATTCTAATGCTGCATCCCAGGAAATATTTCACGGGAGCCGGATGTTTCGATTTTACGTGATTCTTGGAACAACGGTTGGGCTGTTCTTGCCGCTGGCTTATGTTTTAGGTGGATTTGCAAGAGGGGATGAGCACGCCGTTCGGTCGGCCACCCCTCATTTGTTCTTGCTGTCCTGCCAGATCTTAACTGAGAATGTGATTAGTGGGCTTTCGTTGTTTTCGCCTCCGGTGAGGGCACTCGTGCCGTTGCTCTATACCGTGAGGCGGATCTTCGTCATCATAGATTGGATCAATGATGTGTGGATCAACAAAGCATTGCCTGCCAATGCTGATATTAGGGTAACTACTCTGAAACGTCGTTGAACGATTCATGATTATATCGTTCCTATTTTTTTTGTCACAGTATATTGATTTTCTGTGTTTGAGCCCATTGAAAGTACTGTTGATGTGTGAGCGGCCGATGCATGATGTGGCCGATGCATGATGTGATATAGCCAGGGACGGACCTAGGGGGGAGCAGGGGTCCCTCGACCCTGCGATCGGCAAATTTTTTTTAAAAAAATACCTTTGAATTTTTACATATTTTTGGGGAAAAAAATTTTCTAGTTACCTGCCAATAATTGGTCCGGTTCCATCACTGGATATAGCCATAACGCAACATATGCATAGTAATTGAAATGAATGATTTAATTAACATTGTATTTGTATTTAGTCGCTGTGGTCTATAGGTGTTATGTTACACTAATCATTGTAAGAGATCTTGCAATCTGTTTCAGTGTTGGGTATCCATATTTTTCTGGCTATTGAACATTGCTTGCTTAAGTTATGTTTCTACATAGCTTAGTATAAGGGAGGTGGAGTATGTTCTTGATGATTGATTTGGTTCGGATTGTGGATGTAGGACGTGATATGGTTTTGGTTTGGAAGAGGGTTGGCGGTTGGTAATTTTGCGTATTTCTCCATCAACCTGTTCTGTTTCCTCATCCCTCGGTTTTTGCCAAGGGCGTTCGAGAGGTATTTTATGGCAAGAGATGAAGTTCACTCCAAGATGGAAGAAGACAAGCGTTCAGCTGCAATGAACAAAGCAGAGAAGCAAGACAAGAAATCAAATTAATTATCCTGCTGTTTCCTGTTTCTGTAACGTTATTTTCTTTTGTGGACACTGATATTTCTCTTTACTACTGAGCTTTCAAAGCCCTGTATCTGTGTGTATTCCGATCAGTGAGTAAAATTCTAATACGGACTAGTTAGTTCACCATAATTGCTTTTGTGATGGAAAGGAGGAATTTTATGGTTTTACAGATGAATGCGGCACTAGTACGTATTCTGGATGCTACAAAGCTACAATCCGCATATGATTTCGTTGTTTGAGAAAAACAAGCTCGGCATTGAAAACTTGTGCTTACTATCAGTACAATATAATTTACTACAAAATCTGGTTTAGTGTGCAATTGAACTGATTGATTTCCTTGGTAGTCTCTAGTCTCTACTGAACCCATTTAGATGATGATGTGCCAGGATTTCCCAGAAATGTTCTTAGCTCACATTTGACCCAACTTAAGGCCAGATTATCCTAAAGTTATGTGGGCTTCTGTATGTCTGGGCTGTAAAATGATCCTTACAAAATGCTGGGCTGCAGGGCCTGAATGATTGATTATATCATCCTGTTCTGTAAGTAGGCTTGCGGAGAGTGAGTTTGAGAAAGGTACCTCGTAAAAACGAGACACGCCTAGAAAGAAGAAGGGTAACATAGAGATCCAGAATCAAAGGTGTAATTCCTGAATTCGTAGGTTCTATGGATAAATGTTTGTTTTTATCTGCGCTCTATTTTTCATTGTGGTGAGCTTCACTAATTAGGCTTGCTTTCACCTTTTGTTTGGTTCTTTTTCAATAGTTTTTTTTTCATAACTTTTTAATAATAAATGTTTAATCGTAGCATATTTTTTTAACATTTTAGTACATTTTTTTTTATAGTTTTGACATGAAAAATACTTAAAAACACATACTGGAAAAACGTTCAAAACTCAAAACATATCTGTAGTTTGAATTTTATACAATAAATGGTAAATTTCAAGTTAACCAAATATTTGTCCACTTTGCTAAAATGGGACGGGGTCAACACTTTTATCTAAAATGGAAGTTGTTATTACTACGTTGCTCACTCGTACTGTTGTACAAATTTCACAATCAAGAATCGTCAACTCATCCTGGTGTAACGAGATAGAAGAAGAAACTAGGATGAAATGCCAGTGGAGTAGTTTCTTTCATGGGAAATGATAATACGGTAAGGAAGAGAAGAACATAAGGGGCCAAAGCTAGTTAGGGGTCACATCAATTGTCAGCCACCTTCTTTTTAATTTAATTTTTGGCAATTCACGAGTTTCCCAAGATCCCCATTTTCAGAACTTTGTTGCCTAGCACCAGATTTTCTCTCCCTATATGGAAGTCCCGCCAATCCGTAATTTCGGTTCACTGTGGTAAGTCACCTATATCTGAATGATTTTTTTTTTTCGGGGGATATTTTTATGGTCACTTTTGAAGCTCTAATTAAGAAGAAGATATTTGTGTGCTTTTGCTAGTTGAGTGGGTTTTTCATTGAGGTTGAAGCAAGTGGCATGATTGGTATGGTTTCAATTTTGATGAAAGGGTGCCCGGGCCTTTTTCCTATATTTATATACATTTCTTGGACAAAGTTGTGCGATAAGAGACCCTTTTGATCTATCTCTTAAACTTTTCGGATTCATTATAGCGATCTCTCATCAAATTTGTGATACCATCCAATCACTTTATGATTATAATAGTAATCTCAATTACGGTGTATTTTTTCCAGTATTTTCACATAATATGGCTGAAATTTCAATTATAGAGGAGGTATTAGCCTATACGAGCATCTATCCAAAACCAGTTTTTCTCTTTTTTCATACTCCCTACTTCCCATAATTATTGTTCAATTTTACTAAAATGAAAGATTTTATTTTTAATCAAACTTAACTATATTTTACTTTGAACAACCGAATATATCTCCACATAAGTGATTGTTTAACCACAAAGCTTTTATGGATAATGTTTTTTACTAAAGACAAATGTGTAACTTGATCCATAAAAAATCAAATTGGACAATAATTTTGGGACAAAATTTTTTGGGCAAAGTGGACAATAATTATGAGACGGAGGGAGTATTAATTTGGTTGCTACATGATCGAAAAATTCAATCAAACAAAAAGACGATGATTTATACTAATATTGGTAGATTTAATAAATTCCAATCATTTTGAATATCTGAGGGCAAAGTCACCGTAATTAATAATAACCTTCAACTTTAATACAACTAAGGCCACGTCATTTTTTTAGACTTTAGTAAATGATGAAATGTTGCATTATGAGAGATGGACTGGTGGTGATGTGCAATATTTAGTGGTGAAATCGATACCAAAAGAGAGAAAAGTGGGGGCCGCGGTGATAAGTGTGATAACATCATAACAAATGAGTAACAACAACGAAAATTAAAAATAAAGAATGGTGTAACATAAATAAGTTTGACTGCTTTTGCTGCACATTGGCCTACTTATCCCGTGATCACACTTCATTGGTCCAATGCCCTTTGCCTCCGTCCTTTACAAAATAATGTTTCATTTCATCCTGCCAAAAAAAAAAAAAAAAAAATTGTTTCGTAGGTACGAGAATGGATTCGCTTATGCTGGCCACTGTCCCAACTTTAATCACATTACAATTACATGCAAGTAAATAACCCTCATTAGTTATTAAGCAAAACATTAGCGCTAAAATGCGTTGCACCATATTAGTAATAAAAAATCTGTTGCACAACTTTAGCCCTAAAATGTCGAATTCTCGCATTTTGAATCTAGTGTAGAAATATCATTCTTAAGTAGATGAATATGCATACATCAAGTTTTTGCACATAGAACTTTGGGTTTGCCGACTCGAGTATAGACCTTGAATTTTACATTATTCGTGAGATTAAACTTCAGCCCGTGCCCATCATAGTGCTAATGACAACAAGTGTAGGCAGGAGATGAGTTCGTAATAGTAACAATAAGTAGGCAACCAACATAGGCGGGCCACTGGTATGATGGTGTTTTTTGAATTTTCATTTTTAGTATGATTTTAATTAAAAAAATTAAAATCTAAATTTGACAATTATTTTAGTGAAGAACCAATAATAAGTACTATATAATATATGTATGGGAGTGACACACACAAAAATATTACCTATGTAAAACTTACGCCCAATCATGCCAATATATCAGAATTTTAAGAAACGTGTAAAGAAAATTTATTGGTACTATACTTGCTTAAGTAGTTGACATTAATAATTTAGGAAGGAAGATAAGTGTAGTCGAAAAACTTATAGGATTTATATGTAATTTCTCTAAACCCTTAGGGAAGTTGAGTTAATAGAAGCAATTATGAGTAAGACATATAAATATGACAATAAATTATCGAGAGGCGAGAGCGATAAACACGCGCCGAGAGATTACGTGGAGCAGAAAACCTCATCTGAAACCTGAAATATAAGGAAATATGTCCCCTCTTTCTCTATCTTTCTTGGTCTGCCGTGGCAATCAAGATAATCAAACCCTACCTTCCTTCCATTTCCGCCACCCTCCTCCTCCCCTTTCTCTCTCTTCCCCCCAAAAAACACCCAAAAAAAAAGAAAAAAAAACCCTCAAATTTCATAATACCTAAAGCTCATTATCATCAATCAATATCCCAAAAAGATAACAAAACTACCATATTTCTTTGCCACCAGCAAACCCACCCAAAAAAAAAAGTTAAACTACAATGAAAATGCGCAGCAAAGGCAAAGTTCATCCCTCTCCCACTTCTTCTCCTTCATCCCCTTCTCCAGATTCCTTATCTGTTCTGAAGCTATTGCCAGCTGCTATTTTAGCCTTAATCTCGGTTCTTTCTCTTGAAGACCGTGAGGTTTTAGCTTACCTTATTACCCGCTCACTCAAATCCACCAACCCACCTTCCTTTTTTCAACCCGAAAAAACCCCTTCCAAGAAAATTAATCATACCCATCTCAAGAAATCATCTATCACTGGTACTAATACTGCTTCTGGTGGCCGTACTAATGCTCATAGCAATGGTGGAAGTAAAACGCCTCTGTTTGATTGCGAGTGTTTTGATTGTTACACCAGCTTTTGGTTCAGGTGGGATTCTTCGCCTAATCGTGAGCTTATTTCTCACGCCATTGAAGCATTTGAGGAGAACTTGAACTTGGGCGAGCAGTCCAAGAAAGGTGGGAAGAATCGGAAGAAGGACAAATCGGGTCGGCGTGGGTTGGAGAAGAAATTGGATTTTTCCGACCCGGAAGTTTTCGGATGTGGTTCTTCGGGGTCTTCACCGGCGGCGGTTGCGCCGGTGGAGGAAATCAGCTCGTTAGTTCTGGGGAAGGTCGACATCGAGAATGGAATTGCTCTGCCGCCGCCCCTGTCACCGGAGAAGGATGAGGGGTCGGGTCACGGCGCTGGAAGTGGCCGAGAGTTGGTGAATACGGTGGTTGACTCGCCGGAGCTAGCGGTGGTTAAGGACGGTGGAGAAACAGCAGCTGCTACAGTAACCGCGGCGGCGGATAACCATAAAGGCCTGGCCAGAAAAGTACTGCCGGACGTGATGGGGTTATTGAATTCGCGCTTATGGAATCTTTGGAGTCCGAATGTATAAAGAAATGATAAAAACCAAAAAAAAAAAAAAGGAAAAGAAAAAAAGAGGTGGGAAAGATTAAAAAGAAATCTTCAAATTCCACTCTTCTTTTTTTGTTGTTTATTAGTTCGAGGAAGAAAAAGAAGGGGTTGCATTATTGCGTTGTGGTAGGCATTTGCCATTCCTTCTCTCTCGAATATATAATTCCCTTAGTTGTTAAAAAAAAAATTTGACAGTTTCTTATATTCTAATTGAGTTTTAGTTATTACTCCCTTTGTTTAATTCCTCTTTCGGTGTCAAATTCGAAAGAATCTGAGTTTCAAAGTGGGGGAATTTTTTTCCCGTTTGGGCCGGCAATGTGTCATTTTCACCCTGCTGACAATGGAACAGTAGCTCTTTGCTGAAACTACCTCTCAGTGATTGAATTTGCATTTGGATTTTGCTTAGTAGTTAAGAATTGCATTATGTATGTCTTGAGATTTTGTTCGATGCAGATATTTTTTTGGGTTTGTTGGGCCATTTGTTTTTTTTTATTCATCTTTGAGATGATTGAAGGGAATATATGGTTTTGATTAGTGGCCTATTTGTTAATTGGGTGTCGTTAATGTTCTGTAATGGCCTAATGGGTGCAATTTTTTTTTTTTTTTTTTGGGTATTGTTTTTTTATTCCTTTTGGTAAAGAATCATCTGAAATCAGCAACCATAATAATGCTCTTGGTGAACAGATGCTCATATCTTGTATACTCTGTGTGTGTGTGTGTGTGTGTGTTTTAATTTGATCAACTGGTTTTCCATTTGGCGGACTACAGAGTTGTTTTTTTTTCTTTTCTCCCCTGTAAATATTTTCCTCATTTCTTTGTTGTTTTTTCTTTTGATTTTGAATGTGAGCCACTGATGTATGTCTACTCACGCAGTTTGTAAATGTGAGTGCAATTTGTAGTGTTAGTTACAGTTATTGATAATGGGTACTCCCTACATTTCAAATTATACATCGTTTTAGTTTTAGAGAGATTTTTCAAAATGTAGATCGTTTTACAAATTCGAGACAAATTAGTGACTATTTTTTCAAATTTACCTTAAATAAATGATGTTAATTTATTTTCATTTAGTCTTGTTTATAGTTTCAATGTAACGAATAAAGGGTAAAACAGATATTTAATATATAAATTAATTGTTAGATGATTGTCTCTTTAGTTTACGTGCTGAATCTAAAAAGACTTATATTTTGAAATGGATGGAGTATAAGTTAATCACAGGCTCCAAATTCGAACCTGTGGAACAATTATTCATTGAATGAAATTCTTCTTCAAAGTTCAAAATGACCATTTGGAGTTGTTGAATGAGTTGTTGGCGACCGAGTAAGTAGTGATGTGGCAAGATTGATGGTGATTAGACTCTGATTAATTAATGGGGTTGATTATTTAAGATAGATCAGGATGTTCATTTTTGACATTTGGTTCAGTACGAACTCCAATTAATATTTTGAATAATGCATATTGTATATGTTCAGAGTAGTACGAACGAGAGTACCCTTTTCTTTATTTTCCTTTTTTGAATAAACAATAATAGTAGAGCAGAGGAGGTCCAGTAACGCAGCTTTGGTGCTTATCCATTCCCCAATAAATGTGATGCTGCTGGTTTATTTATTTTCTGAATAATATTTAGAATAGTTAAAATTACCTTACAAATAATAGTCAAATATAATGCACATTGTAATTAGGCATTTGGTAATTATGGGAGATGGGATGTGAAAAATTGGTAGTTTCAACTTTCATGATTTCACCAGGTGGTAAATGATGAAATTTCGGTTGTTGGGACTGGGGTGATAGAATCTACTACCCCGCTTGCGTTGGTAATTACAAAAGCTGCAAATTTACTTTAATTGCATGTCATAAGGTTAAAAAAAAAATCCCTCCGTTTTGTTTTTTTGGTGGTGGTGGATGATTTACTATACTACTGTTGTACTACTAGCCAGTATTTTATCATTTGCAGTGACGAAAAAAAGTACAGTAAATTCTGTGTTTTTGCTCTTTACTAACTCTTATTAATCGAAGATTTGATTTCGGCAAAATTGTGTAATCATTATGGTGCTTTACCTTGGTTTAATTTTGACCTCTTACTCAATGAAGTTTTGCATTTTATGATTAACTTTGTAAATACTATTGTAGTATTTAAAAGGAATTACAGTGAATTATCATAATGACTGGATATAACGTCCACATTTTCTCTTCCTTATAGTTTAATGAGATTCAAATAAAATATAAAATGGATAAGCCTTCCTATTACAACAACGGGATTGAAGGAGGAAGTGTCCCATTCTTTGGTCCCCCATCTAATGATACCTGATCATGTGCAGAGTTTTGTTTCTTTTTCATTTTTCTCCCATAGGTATCTATATATTTATAGTGCCTTTTTTTTTGTGTCTTTACCAGTAAAATACTACTCTCTCTGTCCTAAAATTATTGTCCAATTTGAGATTTCAATTTTAGTTCAATTTGAACTAAAAAGGAAAACAAAAACTGGACAATAATTATGGGACGGAGGGAGTACATTTTTTACGGACGACGCCAATTTGAAAGTACTGTTTCTTCTTTTCCTAATTAGGAGCCACAAGTTTCAACTAAATTTAATTTTGATCCCTTGTCTTAGGAATAGGATTGGAGGAATTGACACGACCATTGAATGATTAACACAAAAATTTAGCGGCTAACAATTTGCAAGAAGTAGGACATGTTATGAAACATGAAATTACATTTTTATATGGGACCAAAATACGAGTCATTTCCAGGGTCGCCCCCCCCCCCAATTTGTCATAAATCCTTATAACAATATCAACACACAAAGATACTAAATTTAGTGTGGAGTTTACATTCTTATGAACACTAAATAATTATACCATTTTGATGCAATGTATATTATTGCATCAAATTTTGTGTAAACTGTTAATTACACTATCTTTGTACGCTATATTTTTGTTTCGATATAGATACATAATTTACGGTATAATTAAACTTACAAAAAACTTGGGTTTGTATTAGGAAATTAATGTTATATTTAAGATTTTGTTGAAAACTTCGAAATAAGATAATATTGACTATAGTATTTATTTATCATCTTAAAAATGTTTTTTAGTCATCATTAAAATTGAATATATAGCGATTTCATTGAAATATTTTTGACACTTTTACAATTAAATTAAAGCAACTGTCTAATAACTTACACAAAATTATCACTAAATCACAAGAACTACAAATACAAAATTCAGACAAAACATTTAAAAAGTTTGGTGTATCAATGTTGACGGAAAAACATGTTTGAGAGATTTTATTCCTATACCAAATTTTGAACAAATTATAATGTAATGTTAGAAGAATAATCAATAAACTAGCATCCACTACCAAATACCCACGAGGAACTTCACAGAATAAGGGAAATCATCAACAAAATAACTAAGTAGTAGTAACATTAATACAAGAGTATTTTGGGCTTTAAACAATTGATCGGACGGTGCTTATATTCTTAGTTCTAACTTCTAACTCCGCGCTGTTAATTTCTGACGCCTAATGCAAAGTAGCAGAATACGAAATAAATGCCAAAATTGGTTCGGGGAAAAAGGAAACAAAATGAATTGGTATCGGACAAAGATTCTCTCCCATCCACATTTGTTGGTTTTGTGACGGACAACATTTGGTGAGTCAGTGTTCTGAAGATTTTGGTATTGATCCAAACTTCCAAACCCTTTCCGCCATGCGGCCCAGTAAGGTGAAACTGCACTCACCATCAAAAGGTATGGTTTTGTGGATAAGGCCAACCTAGCAGTTTATTAGATACAATAGCCCACCCAAAAATATTATTAAAAAAAAATTATTTCCACCCGCTTTATCAAACTCTTATCACCTCCAAAATGATAAAAGAACAAATATATAATAATTATTCAGAACGAAAAGACTAGTTATTATATAAGTTAAATCGGGATAAGGGGAAAAGTCTCGTTTATGATGTTGGTGTCATAATTTGCTACATTTGAAAATTTCGGCTCTTGTAATGAATCATCTGCTAAGCCCGTAAAAAAAAGTAAAACTAATGACTGGAATATAATTAAATTAATGTAAAAAGATGGCATAAGATTGGTAAAAGTAAGTAAAAGTAAAACAAATAGGTAAGAGTATGATTGTTCAGGGAAATGGCTTTTTGGGCGGGGCGCAAATGAAGAGTCTCCAGGCCCCCGCTGTTACCCAATCATGATTTTATTTATGATCATGATCTAAGTGTGTCGACCGGGACCAGTAGAGTTGGTAATACGAGATTGGACATTTAGCGACCTATCTATCATAGTCTAAGTGGAGAAACTGGTTTGTTTGCTCCCGCGGTGAGCTTTTCAGCCATTCTTATAGCCAACTGGTATTTGGTTTTGATCGACTAATATCATAAACCAAAAAATTGGGTTCATCCCAACCTCTATTGGCGATTGTGTCAGTTGAAATCCAAACGATAAAAGATTTTTTTTGTCAGTAAAGTGAAAGAGACAAATGCCTAAGATTTTATATTACTCTCTTTGTTCCGAAAAAAAAAATTTAATTTACTTTAAAATTTTAAATTTATACTAAATTTAGCAGAAACTTGAAGATTCAATTTAAATTATTTTTCTAGTATAAAAGAAATAATTACAAAACATTAATATGATACACCAATGATATTATGTTGCAGCCATGATAAGACTGATAATCCCAAAGATATTAGGGAATCTGCGACAAAGTTCTACTCCCGAAAAATGTGCTCTATCTTCCTCCATGAAAGCCAACAGCTTCCTCGTCGATCCCCTCTATTATTTTAATGACACTAGAGCTGTTTACCTCTACAATAATCTTATGCATCCTTTTAACTACCATGCAAGTTGTAAAATAACTCTTTGATAGGGAACTTGATTATTGACAAGATGGAATGCAATCACGAATATGTTTGCATTTTCATGCAACCTCGCATGCGTCGCTATATAATGTCATTTAAGAGTTTCGCTGACTAGATAAACTCTTTATGATTCACTAAGCGCTATTATCTTTTTTGAAGGTAAACGAAAATGTCTTTTTATTCTTTTAGAGAATCTTATTTTATCAGATTTCTAATGAAGATGTAGATATTTATTAAGACATCAAAAGTAACCGCAAAGATCTTAATACAATTCCAACGAAAAATATGATTGTAGAATTTTAAATAACATGGCGCCATAATTTCTAGTCCAATATTGTCCCATTAAACTATTGCATTAAAGTTTGTACCGAACATTGAGTTTGGAAACAAAAAAAAAAAACCACTTGTAAAATCCAAGTAGAAGTAACACAAATTCCATCTATTTAGAATTCATTAGATTTCAATTTGACATATGTATGTGATTACATAGCACCAAAAAAAAAAAAAAAGAGGGAAAAAAGGGTTGCGATCAAGGCAAGCTCCCAAATGAGATAGGCCAACAAATAAGAAATGAAAAATAATTTGAGGAACCACAACATAGCTCATGCAAATGGATGGGTGTAATATCTGTTGAATTGATATCCCCCACTCACAAATACACAACTTACTAGCCGACCTTTGCCACTAGTTGGAGCGCAACCCACAGAGGCCATCCATGGAGTTTACTCCTTTGGTCTTTCCCGTTGTCCCATGTCCAATATACACACTACTCATTCATTGAGATTTGATCAAATTGTTCTTAACAGGATCGAAAAAGTATTTTGAGTAATGAGTTTTATTTTCGTTGCACAAACTTTATTTTCGGTGGGTCATAAATTATTGCGTGGTCAGCTCAGTACCACCAAAAAAAAAAAAGGAAAATATATGGAAATATGAAAATAAAATATTTATTTTATTGCCGAATGGAATCTTTTAGAAGATAGTAATCGATTAGAGAAATAACATACTGCAGATGGAAATCTTTAAAGCTACATTTTTTTAATATTTGGAAATGGTAACTGTTCATTAAAGCTACATTGTTGAACTTGAAACCATCCAACACATATATTGTTTTCTCATGAAGCGGAGTAGAAACTAGAAGGTAGATTTATAGCGATGCAGTTTATGATAAATAGTGAAACTCCTTGGTGTAATGGTATTTACAAAGACAAAAGAGGTTGATCAAACAAGTAAATACATGCAACAATCAATAGGTTGGTCGAAATATAGACAAAAGGTCTTTGAAATAATGGATAAACCCGTTTAATAGTTTAGAATTTGTATGTTCACTAAAAACACACGTTGTGTAGCAATTACCAAAAAAAAATAAAAAATAAAAAATAAAAAAATGGTGATGATAGCTCAAGGAAATCAAGTCAGCTTTCCAACATGTCGACCTTGAAGACCTTGACGGACACGTCGACAAGTAGGACCTCAACATCAACGAGCTGGTTGTTGTTAATATAGATGAACACGTGATGAATACCATTTTAGATTTCGGTTGATTGAATGTACAGCTGTAATATTTGTATATATGTGTATAGTAGTAGTTGTTTTCTTTAGTATACAAACAACAAGAGCTAAGGTGGCAGCTTGCTCTCCACGGAATTATATTTGTACATATATATATGACCAGAAGTACAACTCAGAGTTATGAGCTTCTATTTTCCTCAACTGTTGCGTTAAATCACACCTTCAATATGTGTTCTTGGTTTACAAACCCTAGCTCTTCAATTCTACAATAGGGAAACCAAAATTAGTGGATTTTATAGATAATAATCCCTTAGTAAATTATAGAGAAAGAGCTCAATGGAAAGTGCCAAAAAGATGAAAAGGGCCCCCCAAAACTCTGCCTTTCTTCTCGAATTAGGTCGCCATCCCCAACTACTATCGCCCCCGCTATAAGCACAATCATTTAGATTTTAATAACAACCCAAGGCTAATGGGGAAAAGTATAATTTATATATATATTCTCAGTTGCCAGATTAAAATCTGTAGAATGTATCCACAATGCACTTTTGTAGATCAAAGCACTTTTGTCTATATTTAAATAAAATTATTAAAAAAAATATCACATTAAAAAAAAGGAAAAGTAGGGTTTGCAAAAATATCTACTTCCGTACGCATTAAGTATTTAAACTTGGTGTGATAGAAATGGTGAAAGGTGAAAACTGAAAAGGATGTGTCTGGAATATTACATGAAAGTTTTGAAGTAATTCTAGAATTATCAAAGTGAAAGTGGTCAGTGTAGTTAAAATATGTGTATCGTGAAAAGAATTTTGTAATTGATTGACTTGTAGTTTTGGTAGCTAATAGCACTAGAGACTTAATTTAGTTAGAAGAGTTCCTCTATGTGCTTAGACCATGGTTGGAACATGATATTATTGGGGTGTCATACTACCGCTCTGTAATAAGTTAGTTTTAAGTATCTGCCTCATTTATTATATTAAAAAAAAGAATATTGTGTTTGGAATTTTTCAACAAAAGAAAAAACACTTTTAACTCAATCAAACATTTGGAATTGCTGCTTCTTAAACATAATCGTTTCAGTGAAACGCTTAAGCTTTAGGAGTAAAGATGCCAAACAAGTAGAAGAAACCCAAAACAAAGCAAAGTGACATAATGCATGTTTCCCAACTTCAACAAAAGAAGTGGTGGAAGAATTAAAGAGTCGTTGGTTTTCCACCAAAAATGGTACAGCAATAGGAGCCCAAGGTGTACACTAATATGTGCATTTCCATTCAATCATGAGGCTCAAATTCCCCTTAGCAAAAACCCCTTCAAAAACTCAACACGTATGCAAAAAATCTCGCGAGTTTGGCACATAGAAAAATTGGAATTGAAGCCTAGATAATTAAGTGTGGATGTCGAGTGGCTGCGTCCTTCAACACCAGCATATCCCGTGCGTGTGGGTAATGAATTTGGAGGCACGACTTATGAGGCAAAACGTCAAACACTTTGTGACAATCCAATTTACGAATGCATTATTTTCTTTTTCTTCCGAATAAATATATTTTATAGTCCTCATTTTCTAGTACGTAAAAAAAGATACTTCAAGAAAACATTTTAGGGACAGTTAATTTGAAAATATATTTATACTTTTTTGCACATTCTTAACCCTTTCAAGTCACCAACTAACAAGTTATTAGTACTATAATTAAATTTTTACCTATAAATGTATACATGGTATATGCCTAATTCAGCATGTCAAAAGAAGATGGTCTCAATCAATCAACCAATATCAGCCTCAAAGTGCCCTATGCTCTCATGGAAAGTTGACCCAAAGTTGTACAGCTTTTTGTGCTGATGGGTGATTATTGGACATGACATGACATTGTAATCTCCTTCCTAGTCCTGTCCCATTACCAAAATTTTACTAACCACAAGATATGCATACAAATCATACATTGGAGGGCCTATTCCTTTACCTCTTTGATGATGTCCTATAATTAATATCAGAAATTGAATAAGAAGAAGGAATATAGACTAAAATTAACTGTAGAGTCCAAATATTAGCGATATAAAAAGTAATTTTTGTGTCGATAATGAGATTGTGTCGATAATGTTAAGGTGCAACAAAAACCTTAAGACCAAAATAATTCTATAATAAACTTGGTCGTGTAGACTATTGATAAATATGCAATTTTAGATTAGACGAGCGGGATTGAAAAACGATTATCATTGCCCATGACTAGTAAAGATACGTTCAACCAATACATACATGTGAAATGTGAAATTATATCATCCTACCTTTATCTGCTTGGCTATTTATTATTAAACTTGCATAGGTCGATCTAAAGGGAATGATATAACACTTCCTTGCATGCCAACGACAAAGATTTGGAGAACATCATATCCATATCATGATGAGTTTTAAGAGCTGATAATTGAGTTGCGAGGTTGACCACATATCCATGCTCACGTATTTCTAAAAAAAAAGTACATATTTTATTATGTTTGCTTACCGTAGAATTGAACCTAAATGCCTAAATTTAATTTTCAACTAACTATTCAATCTTGAATTATGTAACTGAACTATTGGACTAGGTTTCTGCTGTGTCATAATGTGCGGTCCTAAGTCCAGAGTCCGAAGTACTTTATCGTATACTACCTCTATCCCAAAAAAAATAATCCACATTGAATTTTCAAATTTGTGTTAAAATAGAGGGAGGGAGTATTTAAGAGTCCACCAAAACCACACATTATGCATCTCAGCTCGAGGGCCTTCTCATTTTCCGTATATTTTCCTCTTAATTTCTCCAAAAGAGAAAGCCGACATTCACAAGCTTCTGGGAAATACTGTTGAACGTGTCAACAAGCAAGTGAAGATATATGTTGTCATCAAAATGTGAATTGTCTGTCGCTACGTTCACACCAATTCCTCTTCATCTCTCACACTCTTTTTTTTTTGGTTAAATTAAGTGGGCCTTTTGACGCAAATAACAATAGCAACTGATAATTTATCTCGTAATTCAGTCTACATTAATAAGAATTAAGATCATGTGTAGTTGTCGTTTCAGAACAATGCGCAGACTGCAAAGTTCTGTTCATCAAGTCGGCTTTCAATGGTGGGACTTTGTACTTACTACAGATGTTATGCTAGCCAGCCCAGCATTGATACATGCATTTGTTGTATTACACATCTAAACATGACTAATAACCGAATGCTTCGACCCTTCGATGATCAAACATATGATCCATTTTTGACAATACTTACTATGTTTCTGGGTTCAATCTTCTTCCACTTTGGAAACTCTTTCTCTTCCTAATGAAGGGTGTATAATGCACTCATAAGTATATGATGAAAATCCAGTCGTATGATAACACTAACACATATCTAATCCATATCTTGCTTCAAAACCATAAAACAGACAGAATGGATATCGGACAAGATATTAGGCAGGCCAACTTTTCGTCTAGTTAACTCATCAAAGCCTAACTAAAAACTGGAGCTGGACAAGAAGTTTATTAAATCCTTAATCACTGTCTGACATGTACATGAAGAAATATGCAGTAAAAACACATTCTCTTTTACACTTTTTTTAATGAACAGATAATTGAGAATAGAAGTGACAGTAACATTTGGTAATTGAGAGAAAACATACTCACAAACTGGACCATTAGGGAGAGAAATTACTATCCTACTCTCTGATTGATTAAGAGTGCATCATTTGTTAAAGTTGATACGTTCAGATCTCATGATGCCATTTTAACTATTTCTTTCGTTGCATAGTTGTTGTCATTTCCCCCTAACTCTTTCCAAAGTACTAATCACAGAGAGGAAATTAGAAAGAAAAAGCGTCAAATATGTCGGATAATGCTTGAATTAGAAGCTTTTCACACAAAGTAAGGAACCCTATTAAAAAAAAAAACATGGACAAAACCAAAACAAGACTAAATGACATGTTTCAAGTGCCTAACCATTTCAACAGAAAAGACGTGCATGAGCAAGAACCATTCGTCAATCAATTGCACTAAAACAGTAAACCAACCTGAGGATAAGCAAAGGGATTGCGGTCGCCCCCAGATGAAAATTAGAAATAGACTAATGCGGATTCAATAAAGGCAACTCAAAATTGGTTTTTTCTCCATGTTGTCTAGTACCCTCCAAGTTGTTTGCATGGCTTTGAGGCTTGCAAGGCTGGTTTGACTATATACCTGAACCTCTATGGTCCTATATAAACCACAAATAAATATTTTAAAAGCTTCAATTTCTCTCATCTACTGACATCACATTTCCGCTTTAAGGGACACACCAAAAGATGAAGGTAAATTGATATTTTCCCACTTTGCATTGAACTTGAAAAATCGTTGCTATGACCTGTATTTGAGAATCCCTTCTGATTCCAATGTTATTCATGGCAGTTACTTGGTTGGATGCATCGTAAGTTTCGGCAGAATAGCCATGAACCCTTCAAAGAGTTCTCCATCGGTAAGTAATGAAATTGATATCATATACGCAAAAACTCAACGTTGAGTCCTCAATCTTCCATTTTATATATGGTCTCCACGGTTTAAGAAACACGGTCCCGTTTCATTATTCTCAGCTGATGATCAACAGAACGAACAGCAGTTGATTTTTGATCCTTAATTAAAAAAAAAAAAAATCTAGGAAAGTTGTTAATGACTGGATCACGTTTTCAAGTCATACTTAAGATAGGAATGAACCGGGCTATGATTTACCTTTGCAGCATTGCTAGTTATTTGTACATTTCTCCTGTCAGGGAATTGTTATGCTTGTCTTACAGGGCAGTCCCCGCTGGATGACACACAATACCACCCAAAGCTAAACTGCTGCAATAAACACTTGATCAGAGGCCAAAGGGATAACCAGCTTCGAAAATCATTCGCCAGTTCAGATCCTGATGATTTCGAAGAAGAAGAAGAAGAAGAGACATCAGGTGCACTTTCTGAGCTCTTCCATGGGTTCCTGGCAATTGGAACCTTGGGCACAGACCCTGTCATCAACAACGACCCGTCTTCGACGCCCACATTTTCCATCTCCGTGGAAAACATCATGGAGAAAGAGACAGAAGTAACAGAAAATGAACTGAAACTAATCAATGATGAACTGGAGAAAGTGCTGGGAGCAGATGAAAGCTGTAACCTCTCATCAGGACGGAACAGCCATGTGAGCACAGGGAGAAACAGTCACGTCAGTGTTGGAAGAAGCAGCCATTGCAGCACGGGAAGGAACAGCCATGTCAGTGCTGGAAGGATCAGCCATTGCAGCACGATTACATTGGGCGGGAAGCTGATCGAGAGCAGCACAGAGAACAATGTCTGTCCACTTCAAAGCTATCTTCTTGGATCAGCAATTGGATTGCCGGAAACGACGCCACCAGCTGCCAAGAAAGAACACAGGGTATCACTTGGAGAGCTGTTTCAGAAGAGTAAACAGACAGAGGAAAACTATGGATCGAAACCAGAAAAGAGAGTGGAAAAGGATACTGACAAGTTGGGAGCATTCCTTGTGAAGAAGTTGCTCAAGAGAAAATTACTTCATGCTTCCAACAAAAACAGCATGGCGTTTTCTGGAGGAACAAGTGACTCCGCTTCAGCTGAGACAAAACTGCACAAGGTGATATCCCTATCTTCGTTGAAACAAAGGAATGTCTTTTATTGGCACTAAATTCAGCAACTTCAAGGAATTACTTTTCATTGACTTATTTTCTTATGAACTGATGAAGGCGGATCCCATTGCCACAAACTTGAGCAGAGAATGACCAACTTGCAAGACTCACTTGAACAATCAAGTTAGTCTTGCAAATAGTACTTCTGCTGCTGATATATGGGATCCATCATCAGAAACATTGATTTATTTGGAAAATAGTTTAAACCTGTCCCATTAGCTGATTTTGTTGACACACTTAAAAGCAGTGTGTTATACTATGTAACAGTACTCTAAGGACTATGAGGACAAGGCAGGCATTTAGTTTACTGTTTCCCACGCTCCTTAATGCATCGATGAGTATGTTAATCTGTTTGCAGTAGATTCTTTCATACATTTCTAATAACGGATAGTAGGATTTCTGATTCTTTACGTCTGCAAAATGCAGATCCTACATATTTTCCATCGGAAAGTTCATCCAGAAAGCTCATCTACTGCAGAGAAATATACCCATACTAAGCCAAACCAGGTGCAGATAAAAACTGATGCCAGGCCATACATCATTGAAGCCCCAGAATACACTGATGAAGATATCATCATTACTCCATATCAAGCCCTCTCGAAAGAACGCATGCGACAATTGAAGGGTCAGCCCAATCAATCCCATCTCTCCCTCGATGATGACAAGTACGGGGAACATTGGATCAAAACAGATTCAGACTGTAAGTATAATATCCACCTACAAATTTAGAGATAGTCTACAAGTATCATTTGAAGTTGGTTAACTTTATCAGGATTTTCTGATGTACGTGGTTTTGTGTTGATCATCTTGTAGACCTGGTGCTGGAGCTCTGAAATGTGAAAACCTAAGCAGAAGTGTCAAGTTTGGCTCAAGCATACTAAGCAAGTTAATATCAAATGTTATTTTCTGAGTGTCTGTGTTGTGTGTATGTAGTCTCTTACGAGTACTGCTACTATGTGTGTTCTGGATGTATAAAATAGGAAGGTGGATCAAGGCTACAGTTGTAAACTTGAAACTCTTACCTTCCCAGTTCCCATATAGATACGGTTGTTTCCCTGATGATAAGTTTGACAACATGATTAAATAAACTCCATCGCATGTTGCCAAGAATTGCATGCTGTATTCGAAATCATGAAGTGTTTAAATGCCAGAAATTACTCAGATACGGATAGACGCAGATACAGCCCAGAATAACTGTTGGCTAACAGTTCAGAATGTAATCATAAACGATCAGTTTCTCTGCCGGAGAAATAGCAAAATTTCGTCAGGATCTTACTATTCAATTTAGTTTAAAAATTGCCGAGAGGACGAACAATAGCCACACGCAAGATAAACTAGTGAAATGAAACCGAACCTGAAAGATGAAAAGCTGAAAATATATTTTGCAAGTCGAGGTTTACACTTTACAGTAGATTGTACAGAGCAGTGTGATACAGTTGCCACATTGTGTAAATTTGGCCATCAATGATGCCAAACTGAGTTCTAATTTGACCTTTACAAAAAAGAATGAGGTAATAGCAGTACACAGACCCACAACAGCTCCAATATCTGAGGAAGAATCTAGCAGGAGTTATCCATGTAATCAACCAACAAATCTTGGACCATTCCTCTATCGGGCATCCTCCCGGCAGCGCCATAAATTGGAGCAAGCCCTCCACTAATAGGGCCTGGATTTTCTTTCACCTGACAAGCAAAAGTAAACCAACTATTTCAGCAACTCTTCATGAATGAGCTTACGGTCATACGAGTTGCAAAGATAGTAAAGTTACCTTACGAACAGCATCCTTCAGATCTTTCAGGAAGTCTTCAACAACGTGTACATGTTGAAGAGTCACACAGATGTGAATGCTGCCAGCAAGTAATATCTCAGAACAATAGTCCATAAAACTCAACATTATGAGGAAAAGAAACTGAGTCATGTGAACAATCCAGCAATGCACACACCAACAATATCAGAGGGAAACATTTAAAAAAACAAAAGTTGGTAACAGCAGAAACAAACAAGGTGATCATATTTAACAGTAAAATGATTCCTCCAAAATTAATGTATGGAAAACTTGCAGAAGGTGATTACCTGTTAGGCCTCTGTAAAGCATTCAAGTGCCAGTTTTTGGCTGACATTAAGTCATTCACTTCAAAAATGTCCACAACATCAGATCCAAAGGCCACAATCGTCATATCAGGCCGTCCAATAACAATTAGTTCCGGAATTTCCTGTATTCTGCATTGAAACATTTATTATTGTGATGTTGATACCCTTAAAGTTAAATAACTGGACGTCTGCATCTTCTGAGCATATGTTTACCCCTTCTGTATTCTCTTTGAAGCTTCCATAATGGCCCTGGTGTTTTCCATGTATCCTATAAAACAGAATGATAATTATCAGTGCAATCTCCACCCAGGTTAAATAGATCTCAGCAATAAGTTACACGTCACCATGGACAATAACGCACCTTCTAATCCAAGAGACATCATTGCAGCCCAAGCACCAGCAATCAAACCTCCAGGTCTGCTCCCAGCAATGGTTGGAGATACATAAAGCCCACCAGACCACTCAGTAACTAAAAAAGAATAGAGTGAAACAGAGGTTTCCAGCATGAGATGGCCATGTTTGACATGAAATCAATATCAGAAATTTCATTTAAATTATAAGTGCTACAGATTTTTTTTTTTTTTTTGTATCTAATAAAACTTACAAAGATAACGTAAAAAGCAAGTATATGTCGGTGATTGATTCGACGACTAAAGGGAAAATGAGATGTAGAACTCACCAGCAACAAATTGATGCTATAAATAACCAATCCAACAAGCCATGTCACGGCATTACAGTATTCAGATGCATCAGAACCATGTCACAGCAAAAAAAAAGAGCAAAAATTAAGCACAAGAAAAATTAGTTTTCATAAATTCAGTGAAATAATAGATCTGATTGGTCTGAACATATTTCCCAAAATTTTTGCAAACCTGAATCACAGAGTAAACCTTACAGTACCACCCAAAAAAGAGTAAAGCACACCTTTTGGGTCCCATCCCATGTAAAAATACAAACAAGACATTCATCAACTAAGTTGTTTACCTTTCGGATTTCATGGTTCCTGTACAGAACAACACTAGTTCCCTTGGGAGCCAAGCCATATTTGTGTACATCCGCTGATATTGAGGTTACTCCTTCGACGGAAAAATCATATGGTGGCACTGGATACCTAAGTTTACAAGTTTATCAGAGACACCAGAAAGGAATTCCTTATTAAAAGAAGCCTAAAAAACTCAGATACCAACTGCAAATTATTCGGATAATCGGCTACCAGATGCTTCCAGTCCATAGTCACAATTGAAGGAGAAAAGAAAGCATTGGCATTGTAACAGATTTCAGCATGACGAAGGGAAAAAATTAAAGTAACTAAGATAAGAAAAGCACTCCACAAATAAAGAGATCAAGGAAAAATCTAGAAAGGCAAAAAGAAAACACAGAAGCTGGCGATATAACCATAAATATTTGAATCAAAAGAATGCAACAAATAATTCAAGGTATGAAACAAGTAACAGGAGCCAGTCCGTTGCTTTTTCTATGGTACACACCCAAGTTTGCGGGCAAATGGTAATACAAAGCCACCCAAGCAGAGGTCTACGTGTAGACATATTCCAAAACTGGAAGCTAATTCACCAAGCTCCTGTTAGAGAGATCATTTCAAGTTATGTTTAGAGAAAAACAAGTATCAGTCACGAAAGCAAAATGAAGAGCTCAAAGACATGCCTCAATTGGGTCAATAATTCCATGTGGAAATCCAGGCGCAGATCCAACAATCTGAAATTCAGAGAGTTGTAATCAGCTTAAGGGTAGAACGTACGACAATTATGAACTGATTCTTAGAATAAAAACACAGTCATGAGAATGATAGATGGGATAAATGAAATACAATGACAACAAGAATTTGAGAGAGTTATTGACTGAATTCCTTAAAAGAGAATAAAAATTGGCTGATATTTCTTCTAATGTCTTTAGCACAGGAACAGCAGATGAGCAGACAGCAATTTAAGCTCACCATTATAGTATTTCTGTTGATGTTTCTTTTAATATCTTTCACATCTGCTCGAAATTGGTTGTCCACTGCTACTCGCCGAAGTTTGATTTTAAAATATTGAGCAGCTTTGTCATACGCTGAGTGGGCTGACACTGGTATTATCCTAGGCTTGCAAAAAAGGTAGTTCAGAAACAAATTGACTGGTTTGCCAATTTATAAAAATGCAATGGTAAAAATACTTACATTTCCGGTTTGGTTATCCCCTTTTTAGCTCTCATGTAATCACGTGATGATTTCACTGCCAATAATATGCTTTCTGTCCCTCCTGATGTCATGTTGCCACAAACTTGTCCTCCAGAAGCCTTTTCCTTACTTCCTAGCAAAGTGGCAGTCATAGCAACCACCTCAGCTTCAAATCTTGCAACACTTGGGAATACATCAAGGTGCAGTGGATTAGTATGTGCAAACCTGAAATACAGTCCACCAGCAGTGCAACGTAATTAGTACATCTTTCACGTTATGTTCAGTAAATGATGGAAATCCAAACATTTGGTGCAATAATACAGAAATGAGCTAGCATCATACTAACATTGAACATGCCTCGTTTATTAGAGAAAAATGTCCTTCCTGCTCAGTTCCTCCAATGTAGCTGCAGGAATATACCAAGTTAGCCAATAGTAACAAGACAACAACACAACAACATATATCAGTAAGCACTATCTTAGTAAGGAAACCCACATATAGATACGATAACAGGCTAGCTAGACATTGACTAAAAACATACACTGTACCAGAACATCTACCCTGCCAGACCACATCCTTTTGTTTCTCATTCTTCATTTTCTCAAGGGTTCCAACTCCAAGTCCCGTACGAGGCAACTCACTAATCAATCCATCCTTTTTTGACTTTCCAGAAGCTTGCATTTTATCAACAACCTGCAACCTTAAGGAATTATCATAGCTGCACAAAAAGGCCCAAACGATTCCAGATGGCCCAAAAATAAATAAATTGATTACAGACCATATGCCTGAGGAACATGACAAGATGCTACATAGGAGAAGCAAGAGTGCAAGATTCAAACTGAAACTTAACATAAATATTTATAGGAAAGTGACTAATGTATATTCAGAATGACTGATAAAAATAGTTTCCGCTATCCCCAAGCAACAATAGGAAACTTTCCCAAGTAATTCACAGTTAGTAACACTGCAAGTGTTTCATGGAACCTTGCTGAAAGTCTTAGTGAAATTACAAGCAACAAACCAAAATGTCTCGACTGAAATTACAAGCAACAAACCAAAATGTCTCGACTGACTGAAAGAAAAGGTTTCGCCTCTCAGATCTTTTCAGATCATTCGAGTGGAAATGCGGAACAACTTTTAAACTACTAGTTATTTTCTGCAGTGTTCCAACATATTATATCGCAACTAATCCAATCTTAGGAAGATCAACAAGACTAAGAATACCTTTCAAACTAAGAAGCTAACTCAATATTAACAAAAACGCAGTGTAGAAACAGAAAGTGCGGTAAATGAATAATAACCTTTTGCTTTTCGGCGTCGATATATCGCTGTACTCCAGGAATTAATCTGTCGTGAAATGAAACAACATATTAGCAATAAATTGAAGGAGTAGACGAGGAAAAAGGAGAAGTGTAAAAAAAAAAAAAAAAAAAAAACAGAAGCGGACGAATGAAGGCAGGAAAACGAGGAAAAAGGAGAAGTAAATTACTTCAGGAAGCTCATGAAGAGGCCTATAACTGTAGCTTTAAATCCTCTCTCCGATACAACGTCGACAGCGGATTGGAGTATCGAAGCAAGAAGAAGAGTGAGAATCGGAGCGGCGAGCAAAGCGAGAGGTTCATATTCCGATAGCAAAGAGTTCGCGGAAGCTCTGAATCGATTGAGAGAAGACGACAGCTGAGCTAACTTCTCCGACGCCGATGACGACAACGACGACGACTCCATAGTTTCTCTTCTTTCTTTCTTTTTTTTTTTTCTTTTTCTGCCGCTCCGGATCGGTTTAGAAACGGAAAAAGGAAAAAACGAGATTTTAACAAAATGATTTTTTTCAATTCTCAGAGAGGCTTAAATAGAAGAAACAACATTTTCATGATTTAAGATATTTTCCTTCTGAGATGGTAAAATGATTTTTATTTTTTCTTTTATTATTACGATTGGATAGTCTGCAGTATATTTTTTTTTCCTTCCTTCTTTTTGGTTTTGGTTAAGCGGTAGTATATTTTCTAAGCCTAATTAAAAGGGGATTAACCGCTCAATTGTCTTCTTCTGGAGATATAAAGATGTTAGAACAATATATTATACATAAATAATTTTCTGGTAAATAATTTTGCCGCATCTTTATCGAAATTTTCCCCTCATTGATTTTGTGATTTGCAAGGCGTACAAGGCAATATGTTTGCGGGTTTTGTTTTCTTATCTTGTCGTGACACTTCAACTCCCTAATCCGTCCAATTTATTGTTATGAGCTTCCCAAAATTGGAGTAAATTATACACTTATTTGTTGTCGTTTTCATATTTGTCTTCTTTCTTATTTCTTTAAAGGTTCTGATTATTTTAGTACATTAAGAAAGCTATTGAAAAATGATTTAATAGCAAATGAAATGATATAAAACACATTAAAAATGGTAGATTTTTATTATAACTAGAAATATTCGTAATCACTATTCTACCTTTACTACTCTCTCCGTCTCACAAAAATAGTCATATTGAGTTTTGAGTTTTGTAATAGTTTTAGTACAAATTTGAAAGCTCAATGTGGATTTTTTTTGAAACGGAAGTAGTATTTATTATTTTGTGTTTTATTATTTTCATGACTTACAACTACGTTATGATTTATTTTCTATCTAAGAATTTACAGGATCAATTTAACAAATAATGTTCTTTTTTTTTTAGGAAAAAGAAGTTACTATATCAATTACCAGGAAATTTGATGTGACGTTAAATCGGATACTTGCACGCAATAATGTCTGCTGAAACACGTATTTTGTGCAGCTGATCCATCCACGGAACGCCCGAAGTTTTGGGCCAAGCCATTTCCTATACTGGACGATTCAATGTGGGTTACTTTCCATCTACATAGGGCCTTCTGGACTCTGGAAGCCATCTCATTTTTATTTCAGAACCTTTCTGTTATGATTTTCTTTTCTTGTTTTTTTTTTCCTTTTGGGGTACAAAGTACAGTACAAACCTTTGTGTGTGTGTGTGTGTTTTTTTTTTTTTCCCCAGTTTTGTAATTGCAGTTAAAGGGTACATTTCAAACAAATAAACTGAGTGAAACGCATTCCTGAACACAATAAAATCATAACAACTCAGGGCACTCCCTGCAGAGTCATTACAGTTTTAAACAACTAAGAGAGCTGTGTGTATACAGGGCATGAGTTTTGGTCATTTACAACTAACGAAATGTAATTTAAACACGTAAAATGAATTAGCACTTTTGTTCCTTCAAAATTTTGGTAGTGCCATCAAGAATTTTGACACACATCATCAGTCATAACCATTCTTTAGCGCGAGTTTCTTCAAAGCGGCAAGAGCGTTCATGTGAAATTGTGAATGGTGAGAGTTTTTAATGTCAAAATTTTCCCTGATAAAAAAAAAAACTCACCCACAGTTCATCTATTTCCAAGTTGTGATTATAATTTATACCAACGTAAACCAATAATTAAAAAGCGATGGAAGAATATGTGGTCGATCATTATTAATTCTGCATCAGCCATGCATGCATGCGTACATTGACATGTGAATTGTCTAATTCCAAATCAGTTGATTTTCGTCTTCTAGAACATTCAATCCCAATTGTTCTTTATTTGCCGTAATTATTCATCAGGCAAGTAAAAAGGATCCATGTATTTACCCTTGGTAATCCACTGCTATTAAATGAAAATCCATCAAGTGTACAACATTTTGTAGATCACACTAATTGGTTCATTATACTTTTAGTTTTATTCCCTCCGCTTGCTTCATTTCTATAAATTGAAAAATGTACTCCCTCCGTCCCATAATTATTGTCCAGTTTTACTAAAATGAAAGATTTTATTTTTGGTCAAACTTAACTATATTTTACCTTAAACAACCGGATATACCCCTACATAAGTAATTGTTTAACCACTAAGATTTTATGGATGATATTTTTTACTAAGGACAAATGTGTAACTTGATCCATAAAAAGTCAAATTGGATAATAATTTTGGGACAAAATTTTTTGGGCAAAGTAGATAATAATTATGGGATGGAGGGAGTATATATGAAAAGGTGTGTAGGTTTTTAGATCGCACGTGATTTTGATTTTTGACCGGGAAAATTTGAGACTAAAACGCAGACGCTAACAGACGATGCTGCGTCCTATATACACACATCATACCAACCAAACCGACTAGGTCTCTCTTATTTTATTTTACTTATCTTCCTCCTTACTACCCCTTCTCACTTATTTATTTTTTTATTATTAAAACGAAGCATAAAATTAATAAAAATTACTCTATGTTACATGGTTTTAATTCAATAACTTAGATTATTTTTTGAGCACGATATGAATATTTACTAGTAAAAATAATCACTAACACCCCCTCAACCATCGGATTAAACATTGCAGGATATTCAAAATAAAATAAAATCCATAATATATTTATATGTGTATAACTGTATATACAAACAAATTAAGCAGCTTGATTGCACGTTTTCTTCATCATGCGAGCACACATGTATTTATCTCATCATTAAAATGTATGGAAAGTTGGAAACTAAAAGGGGAAAAAAAAAACACGTACATAACATATTGTTTCTTATTAGATTTTCTATAGACTGTTGTTTACCATTGGAATTTGGAAGGAATTCCACAAAATAAAGTCGTAAAATTAAGATTGATTTGTCAAATTGCAATCCATACCTAAACTGGAATTAGTACTCTCATTCATCCCCTTTGGTCTTCAATCTGTGAAAGCATGACGAATGAACTTACCAATGAATGATATCGTCATGATTCTGATTATCGTCAGATATATAAATATTTTTATTTGGACAAAGACAATATTCCTGGTAAAAAAAAAAAAAATATGAGACAACATCTGAGTAAGTGAGTATAATCTTGAACTCTATTTCGAAATAATTTTTCAGTTTGAGTTTTTACTTTTAATACAGTTTGTATTAAAATTAAAATCCAAAATGAATAATTATTTTAACAGAAGTACTCCCTACTTTTTATAATTATTATTCAGATTGAGTTTTTATTTTTAGTTTAAATTATATTAAAAGTAAAATTTCAAAGTATACAAATACTTTTGGTACGGAGGGAGTATATAATTAGAAAGGCTTCACACTCGAAATCTAAAAGCGTTAATGCATTTGCTAGTCAATTATTAGTGAAATTAATGCCTTTCAAAACATAGTACCACTACTAGTTTATTTGTTCCACAAGAAACCCTTATTATATTATTAGACACAAATTGAAACTAAAATTCATGCTAATTTTTTAAACAGAGAACGTAAATAATGTTAATTTTTTCCTCTCGCGTGATCAAAATCGTACTTTCGGTTTGGTTTATCACTCTGTTAATAGGCCGTTAGCCAGTAATAAGTCCGGATATCACTGTCATCAATTTAGGTGATGCTCCACCGACAACGAGGATACATGATTTCTAAAATTGGTTTGTGTGTAAAACTTCTTGTTAGAAGGAGTAGATTATAATCATTGTTAATTTTACCCTGTCCAAAAAAGAATCTTCATCTGACGAACCAAAATTTATTCTGCCCAAAAAATGAATCTTTATTTGATGAACCAAAATAGTATTAACAATCACTCTCTCTGTTCCAAAATTATTGTCCAGCTTGAGACTTCACTTGAAGTATAATTTGAACTAAAAAATGACTGGATAATAATTATGGAACGGAGGGAGTATTATTATTTCATTTTCTTGAGACGAAAGAAATTTTTTTCAAACAAGTAGATTAGTTGTCTTCCAAAATTTCATATATACTGCACATAGTAACATTTTTCTGAAGCACATAGTTATTGAGATCGTGAATATTCACATAATGTGCTTAACGAGTAACGAACAATAATGGACTGCATCTTAATTTGTACTCGATGGACAAGTAGTTTATTTAATTACATAATTAATCACGAGAATCACGCAACCTAGTTCTATACATTATCATTCGTTTTAATCAATTATTAGAACTATAGAAAGATATATTTAAAAAATTTAATTGGTTGTGCCAAGTGCCAGCAGGCCACCGGGAAGCAGGAAGCTCACACCAGTCTTATTCTTATTGTTTTTAGTTAAATTAAATACAATAGTAATTGTGGTACTTGCTAAAAGAATCTACAATATTGTTATCGGAGTAATCTTATATTCTTATTATTCACTCTTATCTTTTCATTGTACATCCTCATCTTAGAAAAATAATTATCAAATCTTAAAATTCATGTTAATTATTTTATTGGGACAAAGAAAATGAAAATTTCAAAAATTGTTTATACTTTCTTATCGAGACAGCAAGGTATATAAGTAATGAATATACTAAATGGTAGTAATTTAATTACTGCAAGAACCAAAAAAAAAAAAAAAGATCATATGTTACTTGTGTTTATTAGTGGGGAATTTTTTTTATATGCACCGAGGGTATCATTTCACGAAATAATAATTAACAATTTTCAGTAAAGTTTAGTGGTCTAAGCCTTGTTCAGATTGCCACGTACAAAAATTACTACTTACAATAATTTTGAAGCCCGGTGCAAAACCCAGTTTCCTTGCCAATGGGTAGTAGTAGTACTTTGTGGGAATTTAACTACCCATTAAAGGCTCCTTAATACAGCCAGTCTTTGTTGACCTTACGTGCCGTTTACGACATCAAAACTTAAAATAATGTCATAAAGTCTCATACTTGATTTATAGCCATCCAACTCCAGCCGCCTCTCTCTATACTATACACTAGTCCAAACTTCCCCCATGTCAACTTAATAATCCTTTTCTTTAGCCAAAAAGAAAGATAACAAATCCTTTATCTTTTTCTTTCCCCCAAAAGAATATTAAAGAGTGATGAAAAAATGTTCATTTGATCCAATTATAATCGAATTGTTTGAGCTTAATAACCCTCTTTAATAAGGAGTACTCCCTCCGTCCCAAATTTATTGTTCAGTTTGGATTTTCATAGTTCTAAAATTATTATCCTGTTTGGACCGATGGAGTATTATAATGGTTAGATTTTCCTACAGCTCACATATATAATTTATGTACTTTTGGCAAACAAAATTTACCATTATCGCCTAGAAACCGCAAACTAAATACAGATAATTTTTTTAATAAATCAGTCATCTTCATCAATAAATTCATTATGATGCTGTAAAAATTATCAAATTTCAATTATCTGAAGACAAAGAGAGGAAGGGACCATTAAGGCGGCTGTTCGCCTCTATTTCGATATTTTGGTAGAGAGATATGAATTTTTTTTTTCACTAATAATTTATGGCCACCATTTTCAAAAGATACAATAATATGAATTATTGATTAATTCAACTCATGCAGTCAGGCCTATGTTTTGGATACGAAATCCTACCTCCCTCACCTTGTTAAATACAACTATTAATTACCTATAACTCTTCCATTTTTAAGATTATTAAAAAGAATAGGTATTAGCAAAGACAAACCAGCGTTATAAATACACCCCAATCTTCCTTTCTTCACTTCTTGGCTCTTGATCATTTTTACCAAATCTCCTCCCATCAGCAACGACCCGCCACTGGATATATTGGATAATCACTTCTCTCTTTTTCTAACCTCAAATATTTTTATTTTTACTTTTTTTTTTTGTTTGGTCATGGAAAACTATGCACATAGTTTCCATTACTCATCTTCTAGTAATCCTCCCTTTTCAGATTTCCCAATCATGACTACTACTTCTGGTAATATTGTTAACGATATTATTGATCATCATCATCATCACCATCATCACAGCAATAATGTTTTGATGGTTTCTCCCACTTCAGATGTCATGAGCAATAGCTTCGGCGCCGGCGGTGGCGGCAATAATAGTACTACTCAAGAACAAATAACAACAGATCATCATCATCAGGAGGAGGTGAAATCCGGGAAGAAAAAAGGGGAAACTAACAACACTAAGAAGATGAAGAAGCCTAGATATGCTTTCCAAACGAGGAGCCAGGTGGATATTCTTGACGATGGATATCGATGGAGGAAGTATGGTCAAAAGGCCGTCAAGAACAACAAATTCCCCAGGTAATTAATTAGCCATATATCCTTTAGAAATTAAAACTCTATATTTGTTCGGATGATTTATGGTAAAGTCTTGATGGCATATTATATATTAGTATATAGTTTGTTGGATTGATTATTAGTGGGTAGGTTGTTTTGATGGGGAGCTAAATCAGTACTGAAGTTTGGATGTTAATCTCAGTCAAAGTACTAACTGAATATAAGTGAACTTTTTCAATTCCTCTCCCCTCTAAAACATTGAGTTCATCAAACAAAATAATTAAAGTTCCAATCGAAAGAAATGTCTGTTAGTAAGTAATTTTTTTAAAAAATTCTGAAAATTTAATTACTTCATTGTTATGAGTTTTTCGGTCTTCTCTTTTGGATTGAACCTACAAGACATCCACTATTAACTCTCTTGAGTCTTGACCATCTCATTCCAAGGTCTTATAAATTTTATGTCTCTAAATAATTCTGAATACAAATACTTGCTAAGAATTCGTACAACTGTGGTAAGTGTGTATATTTCTTAAAAAAAATTAAATAAAAAGAAATATCACTGTTGTTAATGCTTAATGTATAGGTTAAATGCAAAGATAAATAGCGGTCTAAAATGTAAATGGCCAATTAAAATGTGTAATCTCCCCCAAAAAAAAAAAAAACCCCAAACAAACAAACATAATATTAGTACCGCCGTCAGAAGTAATTACATGTTTTAGAAATCTTTATAAAAATCTTTATAAAATAATTACATTAACTTACAAAGAATTATAACCTACTTTCCATGTTAATCGTCAAACTAATAGCTCATCCTTTCTTCTTCACTATTTTTAACTTGTACGGGTTTGGCTTTCATTGTCTAAAAATTTCATTCACGCAACTTACCATAAAAAGACACCAATTTTATCGTACTTTTTTTTAAAAAAAGTTAATCACGATCTCGTACTTTTTCATTTTGTCTCAAAAGCTAGCACTAATTAACAAGCGTCTCACAGCATTTTGAACATGTTTTTTCAGTGAGTTTGATCTATAGTCGTAAATGTCCGACAAGGTTTCAAAAAAATACGTTGAACCCAGTGAACCTGGACATCTTCTTAGATCGTGGATTTATCTACCTAAGTAGACAAAAAAAAATTGTATGCACATTTCTTTTAAAGCATATTGTGCTTAGATTTTAAAAACATTTGAGGGGACAAAAATAAATAAGGGGAGGTTTTTGTTTGTTTTATAGGACATTGATACACAAATCCAAATTACGTTATCAACATATGATTTATTCTTCTACTGCAAAACGTGCATATATATATATTGTATTTTAGAAATTAATATTACCTTTTTAAATGTAGTTTAATACTGTAAGTGAATCATGCAAATGCAATGAGTAACGATCGATAGACCCGTTTTCTTTTCTTGGTGGGGGGTTGTGAAACCACAATTTAGATATATTGCTGTACTTACGTTCTATGAGATAAGGTTAAATATTTTCATACACACTATAATAAAAAATATGTAATGGTCCTTATTAATTTACTTCGAAAGTTCTTCAAAATACAATAGAACAGTTTAATATAAACATAAGTCATATTTTGAAACGGTGATAATAGAATATATGAACCCTCCATAATCTGGATATGGACGGCGCTAATGCACTCATTAATGTATTGGGTAGGTGGGTATATTCATGCATTAGTCGATCTTAATCAATTGGTTCGTGATTAAGGCCAACTTTAAAGTTTTGATATTCCTCTCCCTTTTTGTGACTAAAAGCGTTATCTGATAATTACCACACAAAAAAATAAAAAGAGAATAAGGCATTGTCTGATGTCCCGATGCATTTCCAAGAAGTTACTACTTCAGAAGCCGCCAACGTGCATAAACTGGTCAAATATTTAATACAGGCACCACATACATATTTAAAAGTTAAAACAAAAAAACAAAAAAAAAGGACATCAATGTAAATTATGTAATGTATTTGAAAGCGAGATGAAGTTAACCTTGATATTTCTTTTACAGTTAATCCTTACTTTTTATGTTCGGATTGGACCCTCAGCTAAGTTTTACTTTTTAGCTTAGTATTTTTCACCTTGTGAAATTTTAAAATTGCAGCAGTTGTAATGTGACAACATTTTTAAAAAAGAAGAAAAAAATCAGGATGATATATGCCAGGTGTATCTCTCGATTTTATTAGTTTAATTTTTTAAAGTACAAAAGGCAATGCCAAGATTTTTAACGGTAATATGACTACATTTTTCCAATCTTTTTGTTACAAGACTTTTTTTTTTTTTTACTATCCTCCAAACATTAACGTAGGTTTTTCTTGACAAAACATAGTACATTTCAAAAAAATACTCTCTCAACCTAAATAAAGATCATGTTTTGTACGTGTCGTTATTTTGTAAAATAAAGAATATTATGGTGTTCTAATTATTGCAAATTTCGAATTGTTTTTTTTTTTTGGGTGGTAAAAGTATATGTACATAAATTAAACAAAGAAGATCACTTTTTACATCAGTTTTTGAGTACTTCTACTCCTATCTTCACTATCTATTACATCAAACTTTCAAGGAAAAAATTGTCTTAAAACGGAGATTTCAGGTTCAGACAGTTTCCTCTGAATACAACCATTAAACCTAATTTGGATATCTTCATCGCTTGTTCTTCTGTTCTGACTTTAGCAGCAAATAGTCTCTGATTTCTCTGTTCCCAAATGGAATATATTGAGGCATAGAAAATCTTTGTTTTTTATCCTTTTTTTTAGCTCCTTCTCCAAATATCAAGTTGTTACAATTTTTTTTTTTAATATTGGCTTGGCTTGAATAGCTAAGCGAATTTAATAACCATAATTATCCACCAAGATTTATTTATACGTTGTATTCCAACGAATATGTAGGTTGTTACTTCTTATCCCAATCGTAATATGCATAGCTTAACAAGCACATGCATGTGTTCTTAGCATGTGTTCTTATGTGGTTTGGTACTGACTGCTAAAATTATTATTATTATCCCCCTTCCCAAAATTATTATCCAGTTTGAGATTTAACTTTTAGTACAATTTGAATTAAAAATGAAAATCCAAACTGGATAATAATTATGGGACGGAGGAAATATTATTTTGAAAGCAACGTGCGCGAGAATCTCCGGTACAAGTTGGGAATTTTTACGATTATTCAAACATAGTATAATGGAATTGTATGTTGATTGCATGAATCATGACGAATTATGGTTGGTTAGGAGATGCTTTCTATTTCCTCGTGGTGGTGAAAATTTTAAACGCTTTTGGGACCCTTTTGACCCACGTCTCTGGCTAAGGTTGAATCGTTTGAATAATGCAGTTTTCTATACTCTTATTCAAAGGATGGGGGCTGGAATAAAATTTCCTTCTCTCTCTTTTCCACAAGGGATAAGGGTAGCTAGCAAGCATGATACAAATAGTAGTTAATTAATAGCTTAGTATGTAATAACTGAGTAGTCCTAATTAATTTTGTTACGTTCTTACAAGGTGAAATATCAGTGATTCCCTATGATTTCCAATGTAGTATTATATTATTTTTCTTAATTTACATTTTCCATCAAATATTTATTACCGCATACACGGGTGGATTTTGGGTAGGGGTCACAAGGACCATTGTACTCAATTTTTTTATTTATTTATTTTTTACCATTTTTGTCTAATGTTGACAAATTTGTAATGAGAGATGTAATATATGCATCTTCTTACACGTCATTGCATGCATCATTTTAGTACGTATTATCATAATTGATGATATAGTCCAAGTCCTATTCCTAATGTAGATTTTTTTTTTTTTTTTTTTTTTTTTGAATGTGTGTGTAGGAGCTACTACCGGTGTACACATCAAGGGTGCAACGTGAAGAAACAAGTGCAAAGACTATCAAAAGACGAAGGGGTAGTGGTGACGACTTACGAAGGGATGCATTCTCATCCAATTGAGAAATCAACTGATAATTTTGAGCATATTCTGAGTCAAATGCAAATTTACACTGCAATGTAGATTTAGATTAATTTAATATATACATATATATGTAGTCAGAGAGTACATGAATATATATATATATAGAGAGAGAGGTAATAATCATCCACGTATTTAGAAATGTTCAACTCCATCAATAACGATCAATTTTTTCACCCCTTTGGTTCTAGAAAGCCATTAATTTATCAAAATGTTCAAACGGAGTCACTCTTTTCCATTTACCATTTGCAGAGTTGATTTTTCTTTCTTAGTGTCGTTGAATGTATTGGCTCATTGATTACGTCTATCTATATCTAACAAACAAGGTTTTAACTTTTAAGTTTACCTTTTTCTTCAATCGACATTAATTTTCCCACCCATCCCGGCCTTACCCCTCTCAAATTGACAATTTCACGAATTCTCGATTTGTTGCAATGCATCATTTCTGTTTTCCTAAATACTTAAGTTACATTCTTATGATCCTTTTTTCCGCTTCAACCTCTTGCAGTTCGTCTCCACAATATATTACCTCTTTATCGTTTAATAAGTGAGAAGAAGTTCTAGTTTTCATCTTTTTTTAGAATACTATTTTCTTATGATATTAATTTTGATTTCCTTGTAAATCAATTATACATTTTTACGTCCTTTTTGCAATTACTTAGTCGTGCTTCTCATCCTAGTTCTTATCACCATTCACCACCACTAAACAATATCTTTTTTTTTTTCTCTTAATAGTTGTGTAATGTAATATGGAATCTATATACATTTACATTACTTTACCAACAACGTAATAAGTTTATCGTTCTAATTCTTTTGAGTACGTTAGATTGTGACTTTGAGTAAAGTTAGCAGTTCAGCATAACATTTTTGTTATTTGTCAGGCCAATCAGCGTACATATATTGGCAATGATCTGATCGAATATAGTATGTTCTATCCAAACTTCAACCGCATGTATTATTGTGTATACTTTTAGTATCAAAGCTACGTTATTACTCAAATGTTCTTAGTACATGCACGAAAATCCTTATTATCAGCAGAAATTACGAGACAACACAAATTTTTTTCCCCTATTTATTATTGCGAATATTAAAAAAATCTCCTTCAATTATTGGGTTATTAATAATAACAAAGATAAACATCTCCTAATTTAAGTTCTGACAATAACTCTCGATACATTTTGATGGCAATCACACAATAAGTATTAACGTGCAGATTATAATCCCAACAAAAACCCTACTGAAAGTGATCTGTCACAGTGCTGGTGCATATATTATACTGTGTCGACTGGAGTGGACCTGACTTCTGGGAAAATAAAATATTATTTACTTGATTTTCCAATGAAAATATTTCATATTATAAATTAAATTACAATGAAAGTAGTATAATTTATTATTTATAATGTAGACTATTTTTATGGTATAGACTATTATGGTTGGGAATGATTCAGCCAAAATTGCGAAACTTAAGCGATATCTGCATGGTGAGGTTCACATTAAAGATCTTGGACTACTTAAGTATTTCTTGGGCATTGAAGTTGCGCGATCTTCTTCTGGCATTGCTCTTAGTCAACGTAAATATGCTCTAGTTATTCTCGCAGAATGTGGCCTTACAGGTTGTCGACCTTGTTATACTCCAATGGAGCAACATCGGCTAGATCCTGATTTTGGGGAATTTCATGATGATCCTGGGCAATATCGATGCATTGTTGGTCGCCTTTTATATTTGACGATCATATGTCCTAACATCAGTTATGCTGTTCATATTCTTAGTCAGTCCATGCAGTAATCACGACGGCCTTATAATGATGCTGCGATTTGAGTGTTGCGTTATCTGAAGAACGCACCTGGTCAAGGCATTTTTCTTACTCCTGTTACTTTTTTGTGCTTATGATCTACTACAGGTTTTATGGTGTTTCTGGGATCTTCCCTGATTTTTTGGCGGTCTAAGAAACAAATTATAGTTTCTCGATCTACTGCCAAAGCAGAATATAGAGCGATGGCTACAACAGCTAGTAAGTTAGTGTGGCTTGTTCGATTACTCTCTGAATTACAAGTATCATCCACTGATCTTGTTCCTCTCTACTGTGATAATCAAGTAGCAATCCATATTACTGCCAATCCGGTGTTTCATGAGCGCACAAAACACATAAAGATCGATTGCCATTTTGTTCGACAACATTTTTAGTCAAAGCTTTTGATTCCTCGGTTTATTTCCTCTCAGAATCTAATTAACGGATTTTTTCACGAAAGATTTAGGCCATAATCAGTTTTATACGTTGTTGAGCAAGTTGCGCATAGCGAATTTATATGCACCAACTTGAGGAGGAGTAAAGGAATTACTAGACAGTATATTAATGTAATTACCATATGATTATAATTATTATTTACCATAGTCTAGAGTTTATGTAAACTTGTATAAAAGCACATACAGGATCAACGGAAATACATACTTTTTCGGCCAATCTCTTTACTTCACAAATACTTATCTGGACCCTGCCGGTGGAAAATTTGTCAATAAATGATTTCAGCAATTATAGATTTAGAAATTAATCAAGAAGGTCACTATTTCTTCAATGACCATTGATAATATGGCATTGCGTTTTTGTCAATTACTGCCAGATCTGGTTAATTATTTACTGGTTGATTTAAAATAAACAAATAAAAAAATACAGAAGGTTCATCCTGTAGTTGATTATGTGGTAACTGGTAAGCACCTACAATCGATTTAAAATGGCCTTGGTCAATTTTCTTGAATCGGGATCTGAAAGAAAATTCCAAAATCTTTGACGCACAAAATGTGACAACTGGAAAATGACGTTCATTTGGAATTCAATCAAGGGATGATGCCATGATGCCTTTAACTTATATGGCGCGGTAGGTTAATGCATTTGAAATTAAGGCGTTTTGGAAAAGGGTTTACTGTAATAAAAATCATAGTGAGATCTTCAAATTCAATCATCCATTTATTTATTCTCATTATTTCCTTGTTCATCTAAAATTTATTTTTTTTCCGTCTAAAAAAAAGTACATTTTGTTAACCTTAAACATTACTATCTCTGTCCCAAAAAAAAGTCCACATTGAGTTTTGAAATTTGTATTAGTTTTAGTATAAATTTGAAAACTTAATGTGAACTATTTTTGTGAGACGGAGGTAGCATAATATAATGAATTATATTTAGAAAACGAAGAGAGCATAATATCACACCAGTCGATAGTCTAATTCAATTATTCGAACTAGACTAGGATATGCAAATTATTCATTAGTTAATATTCTGATATGAAAATTTTATTTTCTTAAAAATATTACTATATTTACCTTTAAGTTATTTATCTGAAAATACCCTAATTAATGGAGTAAATAGACATTTATGATTCATGAAAAAAGCCGCCATTATATTGTGGAGACAAGGCATATGTTGTTTATGCAGTCTTGGGTAAAAAATTATGAAATTTAGGTTTGTTGCAAACAATAAAATATTAAAGACTTGTTTGGCCAACATTTTGTTTTACTTTTTGTTTTGGTTTATGATTTGGGTTTGAGATGTGATTTAAAATGTGGTTTGAGATAAAATTTTAAAAATTATTTGGGTGATATTTTAAATAAACTAATAATATTTTTAGACTACCACCGGACCACTCCCACCACCGACGCTGCCGCCGGACCGCCCACGGCGGTCCGGCGGTGGTGGGCGGTCCAGTGGCAGCGGGTGATGGTGGAGGTGGTCCAGTGGTGATAAACGAAAATTGTGTAAAAATAATTTTTAAAATATTTTTTAAAAGATAAATTAAAATATTATTTGAATAGTATTGGAATTTGTATTTGAAAGGTGTTTTAAAAGGTAAAATAAGACAAAAATACAAAATAAGTGTCGGCCAAACAAGCTCTAAATCTGCTAAAATTCCTCAGAATTTTACGAATAATAAAGATGGGCTTCCATAGAATAGGCCAACGAAAGCCCATTTCAACAGTTCATGGATCTGCAGCCATCGAATCTCAATAGAACTTATGAAATGGAGTGGGACTTTGGTGGTCAATTCCTCAGAGCATATAATATACGAGGAAGTTAGGCAGAAGAAGTAGCGATAAAAAGCTTAGGTGAAGATATCCTAATTCACCTATTCTACGGTGAATTGTTTTTTACCCAAGTTTCGGCTTCTCCCATTCCGTATACAATATTACTATTCACCCTTAGAGCACGGCAACTTAACTACAGAACACAGACACGATCTGTAGCAAATTGGGCCCAACCCAATCTCAATCCCCCAAAAGTCCAAAACTATTAAACGGGAGACTCGCTTCTGGAACAAGATTCAGCATAAAAAATTGTTTGTTTTTTCTTTTTTCGTTAATTTGACAATAGGGTTAGAGACGAAATCCTTCGTGTTCTCCAAGCTCCCCGTCTGCTTCACTCTGTTGTTCTTCTTCCCTAAAAAAATCCTAAAATTATCTCCTCCTTCGATTTTCTCTTTCACACACTTAAACAATAGATTACCTACCATAAAAGCCCTTGGCTTTGAAAAATTAATCACTGAATTAATTACAGAAGAAAGGACATGATTTGCTTTTGATATTGTTTTCCCCTTCGTTCGTTTGGTCGGAAAACGGGAAGATGGCCTTTCCGTTAGGCAAGATCACTATCATTGTCGGAGCAGGTGCTTAATCTCTACTATTTGGCAATTTGTTCGATCGTGTATTACTCTGTTTTAATTTGATTACACATGTTGGTCTCTATGCTGCTGAGGGTTTGTCGTAAACCAGAAATTTGATGTTTTTACTTTGAATTTTTGATTGTTGTTTAATTGTACATGGGTTCTCTTAGTGAGTGATAAAATTAGGGTAGCTTCCGGTTGAACTTGGCACCACTCACTTTAACTTGGGACTTTCACTTGAGAGGATTTTGAAGGGATTTGAAGTGAATTTTGGCATTTGCAGTGCATTTGAAATTGTCTGTTGGCTGGTCAGATGTGAAAATTTCATGACACAAACTTTACTCTTTTCTGGTGTTTGTCAATTTTATTTTTTCTTGTATCTGTGAATGAATACCTATCCTCGAGAGTTCACTTGACCTGCAAAATAAACCTATGAGCTGCGTGCTCGATTTTCTAAATTGTCACTTTTTTAGGGTTCTCGTAAGTGTCACCTCTAAATATGGAGCTGCTTACTCTGTTTAGGTCATCGGGAATAATTAGGCCAGTAACATAAATAAGTGTTTTAAATGGGTTTGCTAGGATTAAAGTGTCACATGATGCTGGTTATATTACATGAGGACCAGTTAACAATGTTTGTAGGATTGTAGATGTTTATCTAGTCTAGAGAATTGGATTATCTGTGTTAGGATGCAGAGTCTTTGATCAGAACAAAGCATTAATGGCTGCAATAATGTGTTACGTTTCTTGCAGGCCTTATTGGGTCTGTATTAGCTAAGGAAGGGCGAATGCCAACTGTCTCTGATGCCTTCTCCGGTGCCTTTAAGGTATATGATTTGTGTTGCAATGGGAATGAATAAATGATTTTGGTATCTTGATTTCAGCACATGTTCTCTATTCAAATTAACAATCATTATTCACGGCTTGCAGGTTTGGCGGCAAATTAGTAATGGTGAATCTGGCACTTCAAAACCTAAAGTTCGAGATGATGCTCTGATTCAACAGGTGTTTATTTCGCTTTCTATTGACGCAAGAATGATCTTTTTCCTATTGCGATGGTGGATATAGTTCCTTTTAGTGCTCTATCCTCCTTCTGTCATCATCAGCTCTTGGCAGTACACATTTTGGAAATACTCATCATTCTAACTCAATATTCCACTATTAATCTGTTGCTTTTAGTTTTTGCTATTGTTACACTTCATTTATTCAGTACTTTAAGGGGATTAAATCATTCATAGAGCCTAACAAGAATCTTTTGTCCTAACAGGTTAGTAACCTTCGCGAGCAGATGCAACTGATGGTTGCAAACAGGTCAATCACAGTCGTGACATCAAATGGCACTGGTTGGTTTATTTTTCAATTTTTTCTTAATTGTTTTCAGTTCCTGCACATCTGATTTTTGTTGCTTTGTAATTTTGATGGAACCCGGGATTGATTATTATGCAATTTTGATGGCACTGGTGGTAAAAGAGGACTTGTTATGCTCATTCTTTGACTAAATTTTGCATGAGAAATCATTTGTAATATGTGATTCTATTGTTTTCGCCTGCACTTGTGAGATTGAAAGCATCTGAATTTTGAAGCTGACCTGATAAATAGATTCACTTTTTATTGGTGTTAGTTTTTTATGGAGTTTTGCTATTTGTCTTTATCATTCACATTCCATGTGAGGTTGAAGAATTTGCTTTGATTGTATCTTTTCCCCCCCATTTTGAACGCAAATGCAGGTTCCAACAGATATGGCATCATTATAGTTGTTATAAGCATTGGATATGGTTACGTTTGGTGGAAGGTAATGCTTGTATTTTCCTTCGATAATTTAAATATTTACTTTCTTTTCCTGTTTGAAGCAAGCATAGATTCATTTCTCACATAGCATGTCATTTCAATATCAGTTTACCCAGATTTCAATCTCACCTGCTTGAGATTTTCTTATTAGATTTTCCGATGCTTCTGATTTTCTGCTTTTTCATTGTAGTGTATTTTTCTTTTTGATTTAGTGTATGCTCACTGCGGCCCATTAGGCTTGTAATGAGTGTTTTCATCTCAGCTACAGCTGAGTGCATGTTCCCTGGTGGGGAAAGGAGAAGTTTTCGCAGATGACTGATGAGATTCCCATATTTGTTGCACACATGCAGGGTTGGAAGCTCTCTGATATGATGTTTGCAACAAAACGCAGTTTGTCTGATGCTTGTGATAATGTATCAAAAAAACTTGAAAATGTTTACTCTTCAATTGCGGTAAGTTCTTTTCTTCCTGTCTTGTGTCTCTGTAGATTGTAGAATTGTGAGTGGGATGATCAAGTGATGTATAAATGCTATGATTTCGGTTGGGTGCTGCAATGCTTTGTTAGAAATGAATTGGGAGATACAAAGCTGCTAACCAGGCCACTAAGTGAGATATGAGCGATGTTTCATATGCTTCCACCATGTAATTTTCACTATATTTCTGTGTTTTCCAGGCGACGAAGCGTCATTTATCTTCAAGAATCGATGGTGTGGATGGCAAACTAGATGAATGTGTGGGTAATACTGCAGCCACTAGAGAGGAGGTGGGGGTGAATCAAAGTCACTGTTGGTCCAAGAATTTAACTGCCTTTTTACTCTTATTTGTTACTGTTCCTTAGTTTATTCAGGGAGTGTTTATGATTTCCACAGGTATCTAAACTTAGAGGGGACCTGAAAGTGATGGGTGTTGATGTTGAGTCAGTTCACCATGTTGTCCGATCCCTGGTGATTTTTCTACAAAATCTCTGTTCTATGTATTTTGTTCCTTTGTTCCTAGGTAGAAGACTAATTAGAAGAGCTTCTACTGTCTTGCAGGAAACCAAGATCAGTAGAATTGAAGGAAAACAGGTTTGCTCTGTTTTTTCGGTTCATAGTAGATATTTATATGAATTGCAGTTCTCTTTGATTCCCTATTAATTATATTGGTGAATTGTGTCTTCTGCAGGGTGAAACACTATTTGGGGTTGGGAAGTTGGTCACCTTTGTTAAAAACCTTGAAGCAAGCAGAGGCTTTGATCCTATTGAGGCAGGATATTCTGTTCGTTAATTATTTGGCGTTTTATAGCTGGTATGTTATTTCCTGAGTCTATTCTTCTGATTGTGTAGGGCGCCTCACGAACTACCTCGCTGCCGGCTCTTGAAATTGCACCAGGAACTCCAGATAGGGTATGTTAATACACAGGAGGATTTTTGCAGTAGTTTTAAAATGGATTCTGAACACTGATTAGGGCTCGAACCATGTACTTTGTGTGGCAATACATGCCCGATACACTGATTGCTCTCTCTGACTCCTTTCTGCTTCATTGCAGGCTATGTCATTGCCTCACAGTTCTAGACTGGAACTTCCATCTCCCTCTACTTCAAATGGGTCCACAAAGGTATGCAATCTGTCTGTGATTCTGTAATATGTACCTTTTGACAATAAAGGAGAAAATATTTCTGATTCCTTTTTGGAAGCATTTTCCCTTTTTCTGCAATGTTTCATGGCTGAAAATATGGGGCCACCTTATATACAGCTTTTTTCTGCTCTTGTACAACTATTTACTTATCACTGGAACTGTTTTAATATTGTAATTCTTTCTTTCAGCCTCCATTGCAAGGATCAATCAGTAACTCTGGCCTCAAGGTAATTGAACACTCCTCCTCTGTCAATATGTTTTTGTAAGTGCTTTAGATGCTCGGGTAAGACAAGGTTGTAAGACCAAACTAGTCTCTTCTCCAATCAGGTTCGTGAGTTGTCAGATGGCGTCGAGGTAGTGGAACTATCAAGGCATCAAAGCAGTCCTCCGATTGTCAACGGTATTGGCCCCTCAGATGTGGGAACGAGCGAACCTTTTCCAGGTTCTGGTGGTTTCTTTAACCTGAAGTCTGGAGGCAGTGCTACTACCATCAACATGGTTAGAAGAAGCTGTAGTGCGAAGCTCTCCTTCAATATCTAAAACTTGTAGCGATAATTAAACTCGATGGGTAAGAAAGTAAAAACTTTATTTTTGGCCCTGGAAAGTTCTTACTGTTGGCTACTTAGCGGCCCGTCATGCGGCTGGAAGTATTGCGCAATAGCCATATTCAGGGTTTTCCAAATTTTGTAGAGCTGCCATTCTATTTATATGGTTGTTTAGGAATTAAGGATATATAGTGTATATTCTGGATGGAATAGTACTTTTCTGTAATGAGACTTCCGACTTTCCTGGTGGAGAATAGTATCTAAGTCCCCATTTTTCCATGACAGGACAGAACAGCACCCTCATTATGTGATTGGTAATTTTGCTCTCCACAGAATAAAAGAGAAGATAGAACTGCAATCACACTTGTTTCAATGTACTTTACAAACGTTTGGACTTAACCCAAGTCCTCATTTATTTTCTCATTCTGCAAAATCTGTTATTCTTCGTAACTTCATTCCATCAATAGAAGCTCTGCTGGAACCTGGAAGATAATCTCACCAACAGGTCTACTAATGCAGATCAAAGTAGCTTTTCCTTCTCTGTCAGCATGTCAAACAGAGGCTACCACCTGCCTAATGGCCCTCCAGGAAGCTTGAACATTTTCAAACTAACGAATTTCTTCTTTCCCTGTGGAAACTGAAGAGGATTGTGCAGAATTAACTTCAAACTAACGAATTTCTTCTTTCCCTGTGGAAACTCAAGAGGATGTGTTGAGTCTCCGACAATTAATGTCCAAGTTTCATTCGTGTGTATTAGTTAAAGTTAGGTATGATGTTACGGATATGCAAAATCTAGCATATACTAGAATGCAATGTAATAATGTAGTTACTTTTTCATAATAAACAGGTATCCGTACTCCCCTTGTCTCATAATTATTATCCAGTTTGGATTTTCATTTCTAATTCAAATTATACTAAAATTGAAATCTCAAACTGGACAATAATTTTGGGACAAAGGGAGTATTTTTTTTTTTTTAAAGAAAAGAGAAAATTCATTTTATAACGGTTGCCATCTCCAAGACTCCAACTTCTCATCCCAAGTCCGCACTAGTCTTTAGCATAGATGTCAACGAATGTATGAGGCATTTTTTTTTTTTTTTAACGAATGTATGAGGCTATGAGCTCATAAACAAGGAGACAAAGATTAACAACATGCTAAACATTTTTCATTCAATTCCTTAATTCAGAGCTAATATTTTCATATTTTTCAACATATACTTTGATATTGAGTTTTTTTTTTTTTTTGGACCGGTGGTATGTAAAATTGCTAGAGCTGGGTCAGATTTTTTTATCGGCCCGGCCCGGGTCTTAGTTAGATTGCAATTTGCAGTACCGGCCCCTCTCATACAAATTAATGGCGGGAAGCAATGACTCTTATCCCCGCCATTTTCCCGCGCTTCAACTAGCAGATCCACGAAACGATCAACACAAACAACTTTCAGAAGGAAAAAAAGAAAAAAACAAAAAACAAAAGAAAAAAAGAAAGGAAAACGAGAAAAATGGAAGTGCTCCGATCACAGAGGAAGACCGCCGAATCTAACGACGTCGTTTCCTCTCTGCCACTGTACCGTTCTGCTCCGGCGCTCGAAGTTCGACTTGAGGACTTTGAGCTTTACGCCATCGACCGCCTCCGAGGTCAATTTTTTTTTTTTTTTCCCTTGTCTTCCTTTCTAATTCAGATCTTTGTAGATTTGGTTGAAAATTTCCTGATAATTGTTACTGATAACTGTTAAGCCTACTCGAATTGATATATTAATAAATTCCAGTAGGAAACTAATCAATTCTAAACCCATTCAATTCTTGCTTTAACAAACAAAAGCACCGTTGAAATGGTGGGATTATTCAACAATTTTTGTTTCCTTTTCATGAACTAAATGGAAAGTTCAGCTCTTAGTGTTGATGTTGCGTTTTTTTTTTTTTGAAAAATAATGTATGTACTTATCTGATTTTGAATATACAGTTCTGAAAGGGATTTCAGATGGTTTATCACGAGGGAAGAAGCCAGATGAAATGGAAAAATTGGTACTTTGCTCATTTTCTTTTTAGCTGCAAATTAACAGGCTTTTTGCCTGTATTCAGTTTTTCCCCCCTTTCTTTTTTGTTTGTTTTATTCCTGTTCGATTGACTTGTATACCGGGCTTTGATTAGGTGGACAACTTGTGGAGGTTGCATATGAGGCATCCACATTCATCTGAAGATCGCAACAAAGATATAATTTCCCACTTTGTTCTTCGTCTCGTTTATTGTAGGACGTACGTTTTTATTCTTTTTCTCCCTTTTTTTTTTCTGCATTTTGCGAAATTGATTTGAAGTTCTTCTTTGGTAGCTGTTAATGCAATGAAATGTTTCAGGGAGGAGTTGAGAAGATGGTTTCTTTCCACGGAGACTTCTTTGTTTCGTTATCGTTTTAGGCTTCAAACCATTGAATCCCAGGTCTGGTGAAGTGATTTTATAACTGCCATTCTACTTTTCACTTTTTGGGGGTTCCTGTAATGGCTATTCTGATTATTTCTGATGGTGAATTTCATTACAGAGAACACTCATGTCAGAATTTAATCTGCCTTACAAAACTGTGAGCAATTCAGAGTTTGAGGTACTGTAGTCACCACCTTATGGTCGTTACTTTAGACATGGCTTCTTACAGTTGCCAAAGATTTTTGAGATAGCTTGATGGTATGAATTCCCGAAGTCTCACTTGTTTTATTTCATATGCAGAATGTAAAGGAAAAGATAAACCAAGTGGCACGCTCCATTGGCCAATCTCCGTCTAGTGGTACTCCCCTAGTTTCTCTAATTCAACCACTTAATGATGACTTCTTATCATGATCAAATTAACCTAAAAGTCTTAATGTGAATGTTACTGATTATTCTCACATCTTTCAATTTCTCTTTTGCAGCTGATTCTATATTTTACAAGGTAAAACTCTCGTTCTTGCTTTTCCCTATCAGTTTCATTTGGGAATGCTTCATTGAATTATTGGATCTACAGCATATGCTAGAAAACAAAAATAATTCGAAAGAGTAAGGGAACTTACGAATTCCCTTACAAAGACTTGCAAGTTTTGGAAGTCTTCTACTGTATAAGCCTAATATCAGGCATTTTGTGATCAAAGCCTTGGACTTGTCTTCATTTCAAGATTAGTGTTTTTTCAATCAATGTTTGAAGTGACATTAGATTAGTTCATGTTATCACCAACAGAAGAGTACCTTTACTGTCATCTTTGTACCTCCTATTCTTTGTCTTTGTATCATAGGAACATTTGCTATGATGGAGATCTATTCATTTTGACATCTACTAAATCTATCCTTGTTTTTGATAAATGAAGGTGCCATTTGAAGAAGTTCCTGATCTCGTGGCAAGTAGACGAGTTTATATCCTAAAAGGTCAAGCCTATGTTGCTATGAGTCAGGTGAGTTTTGAGCCTGCTGGATTTGATCGTAACATGGTTTCACCTATCCGATCTGATCAGTTTCCAATGGATGTTGCAGTTGGTATCTCTAGTTGTCACACAATTTCGGACACTTCTTTCAAAAGCACTTGTCTTGACGAATAGGTCTGTATCTTTTGGCTAGCTTATATTAGTTTTCCTTTTCTTTTCTGGGAAGCAGATAATCTTTATCTTCATGAGGTAGTGAACTGTAATTGTTACTTTAAGAATAGCGAACATGGTTATGATTTATAAAAGCCTCCTTATTCCCCATGTGTCACTATTATTCATTTTTTTGCATTCTTTTTCTTTCAGAAAATGGACATCTATGATAAGAGAACAGGAAAAAGATCGTTTGACTCCTGTGAGTGTAAATGAATTCCCAAGATTCCCCTTTACAAATATTTTTTAGTCTGACTATAATTGTTATTCTGTAGCTGGTTGAGTCCCTATCCTCAAGCTATTTGGGTCCTGATTATAGTCAGGTATATTTCAGTTGAGTTGTTGGTCATCATTGATCCTTTTGAACTGAATGAATTGGAACTTACATAAACTTTGACGGTTTGACCTATTGCTTGAAACTTCTTTTGCAGCCAAGCGACTTCGCGGAAATTTCCTTGAAAGACATTGACCAAGTGGCTCAAAGCTCCTTCCCTCTGTGCATGCGTCACCTGTTTGAAAAGGTAGGAAGTTTTTATATTATGTTACTTTTTCTTTTATATTTTGTACTTTGACTTTGTAGTGAAAGGTTACTTTTTTTTCATTTGTCTCTTTTTTGTTTGATTTTCTGAAAGTAATAACATGACTTTTGTCACAGTTAAGGGAAGATCATCATTTGAAGCATGGTGGGAGGATGCAATTGGGTCTATTTCTCAAGGTTTGCATACTACAGGAACTATCAATTTAAATCCAAAATGCAGGATTCAATAGATATACATGGAAATGTATTTGGTTTGTGGATGGAGAATAACTATTAAAGATGCACGATAAAATTCTTCCAGCAAAAAGCCATGTCACTATAGAAGTTTCTTTATTCTGAAAGTGGCTTCAAATATTCTATTGCTTCTGAGAACTTCTACTTCTGATTGCTTTGTTTGCTTTTAGGGTGTTGGGCTCAAGTTGGATGATGCTCTTGCATTCTGGAAAGCAGAATTCTCCAGAAAGGTTAGACACAGTTTTGCGCATCTTCAAAACCATTTTAACTTGTTTTTGTTGTTGTTGTCATCATTGTTGTTGTTAATCATACATTCTAGAGGATACAAGATTGAACTGCAAAAAGCTGAACTCAGGATACAAAATTCGTGTCTTAGTGAATGACGTTGTAGCTCGTTGTTGTATTCCATAACAGTTGATAAGGCAAAAACACACAAAAATAAAATAAAATAAAATAAAATTCTGATTGATTTTAGTTTCTGAGGTAGTAAGGGAAGTTCTCTATTGCAGGTTGGTGCTGAGAGATTTGACAAAGAGTATGCTTATGGCATACGCCACAATTATGGAAAAGAAGGGAAGAGAACAGTAAGTTCCATTTGATAGCTAAATGTTGCAGATAAGTTAATTTGCTCTCTTCTGTTAACCATGTTCTGTTAATTATTTTCTGTTTATTGCAGGATTACACACCTTACTCATGCCAAAAAATAATATCTTCGGTGCCAAGTGTTGGAGATCACCACGGATGTCCTTATCGGCATTTCAGGTCCGACCAACTTTTGCTGTTAGGTGCAACTGAATTTTGGCAGCTTCCTAATTCTAAAAATGAGAATTGATGTGATGTTGGGCTATAATCTTTCTGTTTGGAATCTTTCTTGAGCAGTGAAGAGAATTTGAGAGCTGCCCTTGGTAGGATGGGTGTAAGCAATCGTGCACTTGAGGATGTCATTGACAGAGTGCGAAATAAACATTACCAGGTATGATATTTTGATTGCCTATCATCAGTTAAGATCTTGCTTCGTTGGATAATCAAATAATACTATGATATGATATTATCAGTTGGCCTGCACTTTGACATTTGAAGCTGTTCACAACACATCTTGTGATGCTGGAATTAATCATCCAAATCAATACTTCAGTGACAGTAAAAGAATCTTAGAGTCAAAGGTAAGTTCTGTTTTATGCACGTCTACAAGATTTTGATCGGACATATTAAGTTTTCCATTATGTTAATCATATTTGTCTAATATTGCTTTTGTGTCTGCAGAACCCTTCCAACCCTGCATGATTTGCTGCTATAATTGCACTGAAAGATTCTCACATTTCTTTCCTTGAGCAAGGGTAGGTTTTGCTTTAAGAGGCTTCCTAAGAATCTGACATCTGCTCCCTAAATTGTAGAAACATGGACATCTATCATGTTGATGCATCATGAATTTGTATAAAAGTTTGATGTGGTCTTCTTATGCAGTCAATTTCAGCTGGAAGTAGCCTGGCTCACTATGGTAGCTCAGGGCAATCTCGAAAAAAGAAGAAAAAAAGAGGTAAATATATGTGGTTGCTGTAATTAGGACTGAGAAGATTGAAAGGAAAAGTTAACAGAAACCAAAGAAGGAAAGGTAAAATGTTTCTGTGCTTATTGTGCTGTAAGAATTGAGGGTATTTGACAACATATTTGAGCTCTATTCAATCAGGTAGTTATGTTGTAGTAGTCATGCCATGTAAGAATGCAGATGACTATAGAGATTATGCAGTAGCCAACTTTTATTTGTGTTGTTCACATTGTTGTGGTCGACTACTCGACTCTCATGAAAATGAAGATCCATCAACTTTTGTAATTTCAACTTGTCACATTGATGAACTGTAAATAGGGACAGTGGGTGTTGCTGCTGCATCACAAGTGAAATCCTAGGTTAGTTGATCTGTTGTTGGGATGACCTTTGCCTCATTTTCTTCTAAAACTGCCCTGATGGTTAAGCTACCACTTGCTGCAATTGGCCTCATTTTTTAATAGAAAAAATGGGACCAAGCTTATAAAAACTGATGTTTCTAATTTGTCCCACAATTGTGATTGACACAGTACTCCACAATCATTAACTTACTGTTTGTTTTGGTATCTATTTTATTCCTCACCTATACTAACTATTAAGTAATGCTATAATGAAACTACATAACCTAATTAAGTCACTAATGCAGACAAGAAAAGTAAGCGCCTCTCACTTTCAAAATGCTTATTAGCTGTACTTTACAACTTAAAATAAAGCTTTTAAAAAAGGGTAATGCTCCAACTCCAAATGAACCAATACAATGTTGAGGAAAGATTGTGGCATTATTTTATTTATTTTTTTGTGTGTTCTTAATATTTTTATTTTTTTTAAATCACAATGTGTCTTTCGGCTATTGGGTAATTTTGATGAGGAAGAACTACTCTACTTTGGAAATTCCCACTTCACTCTGTTTTTAGTAATTTTATTAGAAGGTGGATTTGAGTCAATGATTGCAACTGTTAAGGATTCTATACATATAGGAATAAAGGGCATGGGTGTCAATGATCTAAAACGGTAAATGATTTACTCATCCATGACAATTGTGATCTAATGATTTTATGTATGGATGTAAATTGTGATATAATGATTTGAGTAAGTGATTAACCATTCAATCACGTCCCTCCCTGTAGAATTTCTTAAAAAGTAGAGGCCTAACTGTGCAACCAATTCCATCCATCCATTTATCCATAAAAAACATTCAAACCTTCATAATGTAATGAATATTCCTGTGAAAGAAGGATACCTAAACATGTTCAATTTTTAATATGCAATGTCAAGGAAAATCCGAAGCAAAATAATAATAATAATTAAAAAAACTTTCTTAGAATTCGATAGGTCGGTGGTGTTATAATTTGTATATTAAAATAAGTAAAGGAATTTTTCTATAATCTGATTGGCCCACAAAGTATTTAGGATAATAAAATAGTGAGTATGTTTGATATTCTAGTACTTGGATTCTCAGATTCAATAATTCAAACGAGGAGAAATTCAATGAATGAGAGGAAGGACAAGAAGTAGTAGTAAGCATGAGAGGTTGATCTGGAACTTCACAAATTGGGAAACAGTTTTTGCCTCTTTTTGGTTGAACGGTTGGTGCAATCTGCAAAAGTTTGAAACTTCTTCTTGGCATTTGGGTCTTAGTCAAAACTAAACTCTTCTAGTAGGAATTTTGTAAAGCCCCTTTTTCCCCTTCTCCCCCTTTACATTTTCTTTTCTCACACATTTAGCCTAAGCCCCCTCTGTTTTTGGTACAATTACACCAACGTTCTTCAAAATAAAATTCAATATGACCTCTATTATTCCGCCCAAAAAAAAATAAAAAATTAATATGACAAATAACGTCTTTTCCTTTGCGGAAGTTTGCTCATCATTCTTCAAAATAATTCAAAGCTCTCTAATTGATCATCGTCGGAGTAACAAATTGTTGGTCGTAGGTCGTAAAAATGAAATCTTAGTTAAAATCAAAGTACCAACTATACGAACCTAAACAAATCAAAGTACTAAAACTGCAATTTAAGGTTAGGTGCTGGCTTACTTAACATCTAGGAAAGACAGAAAAACTAAACTAAAACAGGTGGGGACAGATTACAACTCAATAAGCAAAAGCTTAAAAATAAAAATGATGCCATTTTGAACACAAAATCTAGGTTATGAAGTTGCTAAAAACACTTTCCAATAATGGCATAAGTTTATAGTTTCCAAGAAATTATTGATACTGCTGCCAATAAGCATCAATCAGAGGGTTGGAACTTGGAAGCATAAGTACTAAACACACACTTAAAACTCAACAGTAACAACAGTCCAAAAAGCTCATATTGATTTTTGTAAACACAGATATTTTTTACTAGTTTAAAATGTGGATGCTATTTTTTTAATTTCTTTGAACCAATCAAAATGACCCTTCGGTCGGCTAAAATTAGGTTTTGACCGAGTAAAATAATTATTTATTTTGTCATATTAACTGTAAGCATTAGCTTGACAGTAGTAATAGAGACAAATAGGCCAACTCAAATTCTCCCTGTGGTAGAAGTTGTGTGCTTTTTAATCATTTGATTCACACAGTTGTACTGTAATTGAACTTTTAATACTACCATAAGTAGTAAACTGGTCATGGTCACCATAAAGAAGCATAACTTACTAACTACTAAAAGAATTTCATCTTATTTTAAGACCATCCACACATGGCCTTAGAATAGTATACTAGAATGCTGACTTTATGGGACATAGCAATATTCCATTCCATAGAAAAATGATCCCCCCCCCCCTCCCTTGTACTAATAAAGTAATAATGTCATTTGGGTTTTTATTTATTTATTTATTTATTTTTTGTGATGGATGGCTAGACACAAACGATCTATATAAGAAGTCATTGTGAAGTTACTACATACTACCAGGACCAGTGTCCTGTTCAAACTCAATTACACTAGTGTAATGAACTGGTTATGCGGATTTAACACGATTTAGAATGATCATAAGGAACAAAATACAATATGAATGTTAATGTCATATTTCATTCATCTAAGAATAATATACTCACCATTTATGAGTATGAATGTTTCATATGTCGAAAAATTGTCATCCCTAACTATAAGCATTAAGCAATTCAGACAGTAGTAATCAGAGTGCAGAAAACAACAACTAGAATCCAATCCATCATTCTATTATGTTGTGTTATGAGTGAAAAGAATGGAAAAATATCCAAGCCCAAGGGGGACATGATTCTGCTGCAATGGGACACAATAACTGAGGAGGAAAACCAAGCCAAACTTTTCTTTCCAAGTTAAATGTGCCTTTGGCTCCTTTATCTTTTCCCCCCCATCCCTTCCATATTAAAGGTGAAAGCTACGAACACACCCTGTCCCTATCCTACCCACTTGTATTTATTTGCTCTTCCCCACTCTTTTTCTCTTCTCTAATTATATATATCTATATAGAGTTTATTTTAGCTTAATCACTAGTTTACTTCCAAATTTAGTCTCTGTTGATCACTTGTGACAAGCCCCATTTTTGTACCTTAAAAAGACCAAAACTTTCCCTGTTTCTCATGTCTAATCTCTATGAAGATTTTTAGTATAAATTCTCTCCTTCCTCCACACATGCTTTTCTTTGACTGTTTGAAGATGAGACATCATCCTTAATCAAGCAAATTGATTTGTCAGTGTAATACTTAATAGACTGTAATGCTTATTACTTCAATGATGATAAGTATTTCAATACCAAAAATGTTATTTTCTTTTTTGGGTCCTTTCACTCATGAATCATGCTATTAGTACCATATCTAATCTTTGTTCAGCTCAGCTCCAACTACATAGGCCTTTTTTAACCTCTGTCACTCTCAACAGTTATCATCTCTGCATCTCTCTATTCTTTTTCTCTTTCTTTTCCTCTTTCAAACATACGCGCAAACTCACACACACACACACACATTCACAACATAAAAGGGCCGTGTCTGATTGTCTATCCTTTTGCCACTCTACAACTTTTTTCGGTTTTTTCCTACTGTTCTAGAGTCCAGACTAATGTAAATGGAGTCATTGTCAGAGAATGAATGGCTGAGAAGGAGACCCAGTCGACCTTTTTTTCTTGCACTTGTCTGTAAGTCCCTTTTTACTCTTTAACTGTTAAGTTTATTAGTTTCAGATGGAGTATGAAATGTATAATCTTTCATTTCTTTTCTGTTCTCTTTGGTTGATGTTTTCCTCTGCATAATCCCAAGTGTTGCCTGATTTTAGCATATGCTGATATTAAATCTTCATGCATTCTCTTTCATGCCTTATCTGCGGTTGAATTACCCCAGCCAATCGACAAGATTCTTCCCTATTTGATGTTGATTTTTTGAGGTGTAGTTTCCCTTCTCTCTCTTCCCCTGTAGCTGTCTCTAGTGTTCTTTTAATTTAATCTGTAAACTGGGAAGTGGGGCTGTTCAGTGCAGTGTTATCATCTTTCAGTTTAAGTACTTTTTTCCAATTTTCTTTTTTTCCTTAAAAAATTTTGTGCGTGTGTTGGTTAAAGCCTCAAAGGCTGAAACTTTTGGAGCATGTCATTAGAATTAACTTGAATGGTGTTGATGGGTAGTGATTGGATTTTCTACTAGGATTGCAGTTTAATTATATAAAAGATACAAGACAAAAGACAGCTGTTTTCCCCCTTTTTTTTTTTGTGTGTGTGTGCCTTTCTTCACTGCTGCATTTCTTTAGCTTGTTCTCCTCCTCCTCTCTTTTTCTGGGGCTAAGGGGGCTGTGACCAGTAAGATTCATAACTGTTGTTCTTTCTTCTCTTCATAATTGGACAAAGGTGGGGTTGCATTATTTACAACTCGCACATGGTCTATGGAGATTTTTCCCACTTTTTGGCAGAGGAACTTGAAATGAGTTGGGAGACATTTCTTTCTGAACAACCATCTGTAACCCTCTTGCTCAATCTGTGGAAGTCGTCTTGAATGACATTGGCCCTACAAGTTCTGTCCTTTTTATATGACATTGACCTTTGCTTTATGAAATTTTTAGAATCTGACCTTTGCTTTATGAAATTTGAGAATCTCCTCAAGAAGCATTAATATATTTATGTGTGTTACCTTCTTTCTTCTTTGGCCTTTTGTATCTTTAATTTGTTTTTTGGTGGTTGTGGGGTGGTTGAGGGTTGGAAGATGGTGTAACATAACCACCCCTTATGTTCTTAAGCTCTTTCTGGGTCTGGCCGACAGTTTAAGCTTGAAATGGTTAGTTATCCTCGAAATACCTGATATTGTTTCAGCTTGAAAACTATGTTCTCACTCAAAAGAAAGAATAAGACCTTCCTTTTTTAGCTTTGTTGTTAATCTGGAGACTGGGAATCAGCTTGCCCAGTAACTAACTTTGTTGATTTTTTAGAGTTATTTTGTCCTCGTGGAGTCCATTTAGAAGACCTTGATTTTTTCCACGTGAAAATAGATTGGTTTTTCACGTTGACTGTTATAAAAGATAAACCTTTTTTTGACTGCATGTTGTACTGCAAGTTGTTCTAATAAAGGTTAGATTCTTAATTAACTTTTGGAGTTTTCAGTTTTGTTTTTCCAATGATGTGAAGCCAAACCCTTTTTTTTTTTTTCCTGTTAGCAGTCAATGGTTCTTGTCCCGTTTTCCCCTGATTTGAGAACGTTTTGTGTGTACTCATGTCCTACCAGGTGCATAGTTATGGTAAGGTATTATTTGACTGCAAAAAGGGCAAGTGGAAGAGGTTTTGTATGAGAAGAACTTGACTAAGAAGGAAGGAAAATCACTCTCTTTGGACAAATTTCTTGAAGTTTAGCTGTATCTTGGGGGAGACAATATCCTTTTGCCCTCTTTTACAGCCCTGTTGATTTTTCTTTAAGTCCTAAAGGGAAGTACTACCATTTTTGGAGCCAAAGAAGCAATTCAATTGGGAAATTTTGTAGCAGAATCAGGGGAACTTTATATACTTGATTGATGGAATCATCGTCGTTATCGTCATTTTCGGGAACATCAAAGAGGGCCAGGGCACCAGGGCATATCTCCCAGAATGCTCATTGCTTGGTCGATGGATGTAATGCTGACCTAAGTCAATGCCGGGAGTATCATCGCCGCCATAAAGTCTGTGAAATCCACTCCAAGACTCCGAGGGTCACAATTGGGGGTCGTGAGCAACGGTTTTGTCAACAATGCAGCAGGTAATTTGCTCTTGTTTTTAGATTAGGTTGCCTGATAACCCAATATTTGGTGAAAGGACTCGTGATCAATTCAATTATCCTTCCTTTTGTACATGTTCGCTGTTGCTACCAATGTGCATTGTGTTCTTTCATTTTCGCGTTACTGCTTCTTTTTCGACCTAATCTTTGCGTTTCTAGTGGGAAACTTTCTGATTTGTTGAGGGAAGCTTTTTTTGGCACCATGTTTTGCACATAAGAATTGTCTTTAGCTGGTGTTAGGTTATCAAACTACGATTCGTTCTTGATCAGTTCAAATTAATGAGATAGATTGCTGCTCTGAAGTTTTTGTATTCAAGGATTTATTTGCTAATGGATTTGAAAATCAACAAATTTTCATCGAATAAAATATGGTGACCTGGTTGGCCTGCAGTGCGGTTTTATGGATCAAGGCATTGACAAGTAAAACTATGGTGACTTTTTCACACGAATCATATTCGTCTAACCTGAAACCATGAAACAATAGTGAGGTCTGGAATATATGGGAGAGTTTCATCCAATATTTATCTATACTCTTACTTCTATAATTTAATAAAAGATATCTTTGAGTTCAATCGATTTTCGAGGCATTTTCATTGTGTCAGCATCTCACAAATTTTCCATGTTAATGTCTCCGTCTGCTATTAAATTTTACTTCCAAAGAGTGTTTCTAGTGTGGAATTCCTGTAGGTTTTACTAAGGGGATGCATTGAATTTCATTTTTTCCATGTTAAATGTGCAATTATGATTGAGCAGCTTAGAGGAAAAACAAGAATTACTTAGTGATAGGTTGGAGATTTCTGTCGTATTTTTTAATCCATTTCAAATGTTTTGAAATAGATACTTCATTCATGTAGGAATCTCTGACACGCTGTCAACATTTTGTAGATTTCATTCTCTTGGAGAGTTTGATGAAGGAAAACGTAGTTGCAGAAAACGTCTTGATGGCCACAATAGGAGGCGAAGAAAGCCTCAGCCAGAGCTTTCTAGAAGTCCCGGAATGCTATTTTCCAGTTCGCAAGGTTTGTATCACTTGATTTAGAAAATTTTGTTCCATTGATGTCAACTGTGGTCAAAATCTATAATGCCTAGTGAATTAAACACATTAGGTTGCTTCATCAATCCTTTCCGACTGAATCACCTCAAATATGGAACTCTTTGCAGGTACAAGAATTCTGTCATTTAGTAGTACGCCACAAATATTTCCTAGTGCAGTCGTGAGTTCCAATTGGACCAGCATCATCAAACCCGAGAATGATGCCATGCTGTACAACAACCACCAGTCAAATGTAAATTACATAGACAGACACACCGTCTTCCAGGAGCCCTCATCGTCTAGTGATTATAGTAAAAGTGCAAACCAATATCAGTTTATGCAAGGCACCAATCAACCCTTGAGGGAAACTTCTATCTGTCAACCGCTTCTCGATCCAGATTCAGCATCAGGACATACTAACAGCAGCGGCCAGTTGAATCAAGTCATCAGCTCGAATCATCGTGCTCTCTCTCTTCTGTCATCTGCACCCGTTGTAACTAGGGAGATCAGTTTTAGCCACAACCTGGTGCAGCCTGACTCCAATATTTCCTCGGCGCAGTCATCCGTAGTACACAACCTGCATTACAGTGGTAGTCTTCCTGCAAGCCAATTTCATCAATTTGCTCGAGAAATGGAAAGTAGTAACCACAAGCGAGTAGTTGTTTCTGAAACGGATTCCCAAGCCAGCAATAATATCGGGAACACCCTCCATTTCCCGGAAATGTTCCATCATAACGGACCAGTCGAGTCATCTACAAGTGGTGGGCCATCTCATCAGACCCTCACATTCCTGTGGGAGTAGCTTCTGCTTATTAAGGTTCACTCTTTTTTTTTTCATTTGTTTCCTTTTGATATTTTTCCCCCCCTTTTCCCCCTATTCTAACTGTGTGAATAAATTCTGTACTGAGATACCAATTCTTTGTCACTTTCCTCTAAGAATGTTCATTGTTTGGCCTAATGTAGTTCCGGGCGTGAAAATGTGTAGACGAATAACTCATTCTTCTTGTTGCCCGTAAAGAATAATGAATATTGTCTTGTAACTTGCTGCATTTTTGCAGTGAGCGTGCATCTTAATGAATTGAATATAAACAGAAGCTGCCGAAAACGACGACTGAGCGAGCCATTTGGCTGTCTGTTGAATGGCAGCTAGTTGGTTTATTCCTTGAAATGTTGTTCGTATGAATGATCAGAAGGGCAGGCATGACTGCATTTCTCTCTATATTTTTGTTTGAGACTTTAATAGTCACTTTCTCCTGTTTCTGGACCACATAAATGCTTGACATTGCTGTAATAGACCATCCTTGAAAATCACAAGTTGTAATTTCTAATAATTTTTATATTTAGTTCCGTAGGCTAGATATAGGAAAGAATATAAGTTAGAATAGCCTAATTATCTGAATAGAAAAGGGTTCAAGAGGGATCTGTTTATTCCTTCTTGGATATGATTTAATATAACTCAAATGGGATTCTCTGCATTGACCATATCTCAGTAAAGTGTCCAAATCCCCTTATGAAAAAATATAAATGGAGGAATATATCTCCCAACTTATTTAATCAAGTTAAAATTTGGGACCACTTTGGATTCATTTCTATCTCAAACTCACTCAGTCCTATAAATATGCATTTATGGGGCAAACAGCTAGTGTAGTTAAGTAGTTAACGAACCCTAATTTATTTTGATCCTTCTTTTTTTTTTTTTTTTCTATACTATAAATTGAGATGGAGATGGAGACTGGTAATAAGAAGCAACAAGGAGGGTTTATGAAAAGCAAGCTGGTTATGTCATTTTATAAGGTTGCTAAGCCTGCTTCATCATCTGGTGGGCAATATGGAGCAACTTATAAAGTTGAGTATCAGAAAGAGCCATCTTGTGCTGTTGTTCACAAGGTTGAGTATAAGAATCCCCAAGGAAGAGGAGGAGGAGGAGGAGCTCTTTCGAGTCGGGATGGATATGTTCACGGCCCTCGTGGTCTCGGGGGTGACGAACACGTGGACACTAAAGCCACAAGCTACATATTTCAAGTGAAGGAGAGGCGTCGGCTTGAAGAAATGAACATTATGAAGGAAGAGAATATGTGATCATCACTGTTGATCTGTTTAAGAGAAAGAAGAAGATTGTGTTTGGCTTACAAGTCTGGTGTGGCGTTTGTTTGTGTTTTGTGCGTTCCAAGGAATATTGTAACTGTAAATAAGTACGATGATCTCACAAGATCTTTCTCGTGTGCTGTTGTGTCCTTTGATGATCTCCAGTCTTAAGAGCAGATCTTTCTCTTGTTTTGGTCTGTAAACTTTGGCTAAAGTGTTGCTTAAACTAGTGACAAGGAAGATTTGCTCACATGTTGAATAATAATGACATGGCCAACGCTATAGTATGGCCAGTTGAGTGTGACCTCAGTCTTAACATCAATATTATTAGGTTTGATGAAGAAAGTCGTGAAGAGTTCAATAAACAAGACTTCTTTTGGGGCTATTAAGAGGGAAGTTTATATATTATTATTACTACTTCTGTCCTAAAAAAAATTGTTTTTTGAATTTCGAAATTTATTTGAGTCAGTATCATTCAAAGTGGCATAAACATGAAGATAATGACATTCTTCAACTTTTATCCAACCTCCATCGTCATTTCTTGGTCTTCTTGTTGGCATGGCTTGTCTGTGTCCTGAAACCCTTTTGTTGATTCAGTTGGGCTTTCTCTCTACTTCTGAAAGGAATTGAAGGTAGCATTCTTGGGCTGTTAAGTTTTGGAGAGGGTTCCAAATCAAGGGATTAAATGGGTCTTGGCCATTATCACTTGTTAGTATGTTGGCCCAATCCCTAATAAACCTTTGATAATAACGTTTTCTTTTGTAATAATAATGCAATCTCCCGATCTTAAAATAAGTGTCTTGTTCATTTTAATTTTTTTTTTTAACATAATGAATAATACTCTTATCTTAGGACATAAACATTGCTATAACTGAATCATGCTTCTTAGTGTGTATTACCATAACCCTCCCTTTCCATTTTTTAATTGACAGGGAATGGACATTCGACACGATTGCCATATACTACATGGAAAAACAAATGACCAATTATTTGAAATACAATATTATTCAATAAAAAAAAAAAGAAAAATCGGAGGAGATATAGTAAAGCTGTGTGATTTATTGAAAGGTTCCAAAAACTGTTAGATGTAACTTGTCAATTGCTTTGAGTTTCTTCTTTCCGACCCACCTAAGTTATGATCACATGCCTGATGCAGACATCTCAATAACATTCCTCATGGTTTTCACTATGTTTCAATTTCCTTTTATTGCACACCAACTATTATTTAACCTTAAACACCTCTTAATTTGAAAACCAAGTGTACAACTATATCCTACACCGCCCCCAAATAATAATAATTTGTCACAATTTTGTTCGCAGTATTTTCCCAAATAAAGAGCAAACCCAAAAACTGTTAGCCACCAAATTAGGGGTTTCTTCTTCATTTCAAAAAGGCCCCAAATAAATAGAGGAATTATAAAACAATTAAAAGTTAGCTAGCTAGGTAGCACTTATATTTTTGTCTTTTCTATTTAATGCAGCAAGTCATAAAATGCATACTTGTTTTTCCCTAATTTTACAAAAGGGAAGACAGATTATAATTCATTGCACATGCAATTTTAATCTTCAAGAAAAATCGAACTAAAAGTAGTTTGTCATGTCATTACGGGTTTGGACAATATATTATTTTAATAAAACTAATAATTTTATAAATAATTAACATTTAAACAAGTGTTAATTACTAATTAAGTTCAAATAGCTAGAGATGTTGTTCTTTCATAAAAATGAAGAATATGATTCGTTAGATATATTCTCAAGAAAGGCAAAAGGAAATTGGGTTTCACATGGTTCACTCTATCACAAGAGAATATTTTACCTTTTAGTTAGTGGTTTTGTTTGTTTGGTGTCAAAGTTTACCAAGAAAAATAGGAACATCTTCCTGTTCCTTTTTCCGAATGCAGATAAATATTTTGCCATGGATGGCAGTCAAAATAATTTTGTTTGGAGTGGGCATTTCAGGCCAAATATATATAAGAAAAAAAATGTTACTCTTTTTTTCCTTATAGGTCCTCAGCTTTGAAGGGGAGAGAGGTTGAACTCCATTGTTGCTTCATTTCTTTCTCTCCTCATTTCTGTGGGTCAACTTTACAATTTTAGCATTTCTTGTTATCAAAATAAAGAAATAAATGCTCGTATTTATGGAAACCATGAGAAAAGCATAATGAACCCAATTGAACCGGAAATTCAAGCCAAAAAAGGCGACAATTTTATAGTCTAACTTATTTCATTCAAGGTTTATCTTATATTTTCTCTGTCTCAAAATTATTATCTATTTTAGATTTTTATTTTAGTGAACTAAAAGAAAAATCTAATCTAGACAATAATTTCGAGACGGAAGAAGTAATTAAATTCCGATAAAATCATACTCTAAGAACAAAGTTTTTTTCTTGCAGTGCATCAACTAATTCTGCTTATTAGCCGATATCAATACATTATACAAATTTCTTAATCATCGCTTCATTAGACCCGCAACAAACTTTGAGTCTAAAGTCAAGTAGAAGCAAGCCCTATGGTATACGCATCTAAGATCAAGACATACTCAATTCATGCAACTTAGAATTTAACACATCGGTTTTGTGACATTGTGCTAGCTTCAGTTTTAACTATAGATATAGATCACAAATAGATATATGCACGTAGTTATTAGTAGAAATTAAGGGGAAAAAACTAAAAACATCCACACAATTTTTATTTTTATTTTTTCCGAAATGAAGACAAAGAATGGTTATTTTTTGACTAATTAAAATTTAGTACTCCCTCCGTCCCATAATTATTGTCTAGTTTGAATTTTTATTTTTAGTTCAAATTGTACTAAAAGTGAAATTTCAAAGTGAACAATAATTTTGGGACAGAAAAAGTACTATTTTTTTTTTTTTGAATAAAAATCCTTCAAACATTATAATAACAACAGTATATCACATCGTGAAGTCAATTGTAAGGTCATTCGTCCCCCACATTGTCTCAGGAAATTTATTCACATGTTTTAAAGCCTATAAATTAAACTTAAAACGCAGAAACCTACCTAAGGCTAGACGATGTGGACTTCCGTCTCTTTTTTTCTTTTTTTTTTCTTTTTTCTTTTTTCTCCTCCGTTTCAAAACTCCTATACTTGCTCTTATTCGAGCGGAGTCCACAAGGAGTGACGCTATGCGGGAAGGTTTAAGTGTAATAATAATAATTTTATACTCCCTTGGTCCCAAAATAATTATCCAATTTGAGATTTCACTTTTAGTACAATTTGAATTAGAAATGAAAATTCAAACAGGACAATAATTATGGGATGGAAGGAGTATTATTTTTTAACCAAAACCACATAGTAGTATATCTTTTGTTTCATGATGAGAACTGAATGTGAATTAACTGAATTGTGCTCGATCGGAAAGGCCTCGTCACTGGGAAGGGGACTATATTCTATAGTTTATTTCAAACGTTGTCATCTGTCATAAGGAAAATTGAATTTCAATCACTTGAAAAAGCATATAAATTCAAGATGCGCCTATTTCAGCCTCTTGTCTCAAGATAACGATTAGTTTTAGACCGAAAAAAATATAATTTTTATTAAAAATAAAAAATTTAAATTAAATAATTATTTTAAAACGAAAGAAATATAATTTTTGTTGTTTTATCTTAATTCAAATCTTTAAATCATCGTGTATACGTACGCTCACAAATCAACGGCAAAAATTACATGGCCGAAAGGCAAAATACCAAAACGGTGGGGCGGGGGACTTCATAGTGCCCACTGCCCTACCCCACTAAAATGAAATAAATGGAGTTTGGGACAAAGAAGAGAGAGTGACATTTTCAATAGACAACTGCCTCCCATTCCATTTATTGAATGATGGAGTTCTCTCTTTTGTGGTCATAGTCTTTCCATATAAACAACATAGACGGATTAGAATTGGACCCCTTTTCGACAATTTCGACTTCAAATGGGGTTGATTACCGTACTACATTGTGACCAGTGAAACAAATGCGGTTTGAATTGAATATTTGAAATAAAAACTTACAAACATTTCATAATGAATGCGTAATGTATTCTAATGTTATTAGTTCGTCTCCGGCTCTTTTTTTTTCCATTTTTTTTCTTTCTTTCTCGCATGCATAGAGTTCACTTCTTTACTGTAATCTGATCTCAAATTTTGACTATTTCACCTTGTTATAGATTAAAAGAAAAAGAAAAGAAAAAGGAGGTTAGAGAACAATAGAGTATGAGAATGGGGGCTAATTGGGAATGGAAGGTAATGTCAATGTGAGGGGGACTAGATAGATAGATGGGCCTATGGGTATAGATGTGCTACTATTAATTTATCTTTTTAAAAAAATTAAATGAAAAGTGAGGGGTTTCCTAAAATGGAAAGTGGATCCACGTGTCCGATTTGTGAAGTTGATGGTGCCTGCCCGTTTAAGGTTATAAATCTGACAGGATTTGTACTCCTCCTGGGGATGGTGGGCCCCTACACTATTTATCACTTTTGCAATCCCACCCCCCCCCAATTATCTCGTCTCTCTCTTCAATTGGTTCGTGGTCCCCCTTATCAACAATACCATTGTGATAATAATATCTCATTTCTCCTTCTCTCTTCCAATTTTGGTTTGGTTTCTATATAGTTTTTGGGTCTTGTGTTTTTTAATTTATTCTTGGTGTTAGCTTACATTTAACGTGTAACAGCATAAAACTAACTGTAAAAATGTCAAGGCATAACAAAGAATTATTTGAATAATGACTAATGAGAACATATTGGATTGATTTATAACAGTCATTCAGTGATTTCGCCAGATGAGTAAAAGAGTTCAAGTCGCATAACATAAGATATTTTAGGATGATGAAGTGCACAAAGTGCTCACTGAAGTGGTTAAAAAAAGCAAAAGTTAAAGATAGAGGGTGCCCAATAGCTAGTTAGACGGGTAAAAGCTGATTATGTGGTGGTTATTTGCAATTAACTCTTTTAAAGTAGTTTGCTTTTGTCATCGTATGTGGCCCATAAACTAAC